TGGTATAAGTGTTCATGCAGTATCATACTAAAAGTATTGGAAAATGTGTAGCTCATTGCAAATATGTATTTATTGCTAATTATAAATGGCTTCTTTGGAGGTGCACCTGATCCTTAACAACTTTATTAGAGCCTTTTAGAGGGCCATTCTGTATTAATCCATCCACAAGGCTCTCAGTAATATTTGGCCAATATGCTCTTCACCAAAGCATCAACTCCAGATTTCCTTTGTTGCTTAACACACTAAACACAGCTAAGCTGGCAGTTTTCCTCTGCACTGTGGTATCGACTGACATATCAGTCTCTCAAAAAAGTCAATTATTTAGTTATTCCCATTTTTCTAAACAAAACTATGCTTGTTTGCATGGTTTTCAAACAGTTCTTTAAAAAAGTAAACCTGTAACACTTTAAATATTTTAAAGTAACAATTTAACGGTATAATTTATTTTTCTAATATCATGTAATATATATTTTTCCACAAATTCTGGTCACATTTCATTTTGATTTTTTTTCTCTAATGGATTATCCATAGATGCTCAAATTAGTCATTATAAATTATCTGGTGAACCGAGTAATTATTTACAACTTTAGGGTTAAAGTTAGGTGTAGGTTAAGGATTAGGTTAGGCTAGGTATTAAAATTAAGGTAAGGTTTAGTTTTAGGAGAGTTTTAAATTAAAGTTAAAGTTAGATTTAGTTTTAATTTAGAGTTCAGTTACATTTTATAGATATTTAGTTAAAAATAAGTTAACTGCAGATAATCCCTTGCATAAAAAAGTGAATTTGGGCCTTAAATTTTACCTTAAACCACATAAAATCTCTCCAGGGAAATAGAAAACATCTATAAGTGTAAATTGAGTTTTAGACCCTAAGTCTGAGTTTCAGCACAGTTTTTACAGTTGCAATTATTTGAATTTAACTTAAAACAAATATTTAAGATGCTTTATGCAAGCAGCTAAAAGTGTATCTCTATATAGCAGCTGGATTAAAAATAAATTGACCTAAATCTTCATTGAATTGCATGGCATTTTAAAATCTTTCCTGTTCACAGCTTTGTAAGGTATGAGTGAGAGTAAAAAAAAATCTATAACATGAAGAATTTATTTAGTCATTCTTCATTAAGCTTTTAGACAAGCATATACTCCTGTTTGCATGAAATGAGGACCCCAAACTGCGAGCGACCCACCATGAGTTTCCTTAGCGTGCTGTCAGGGAGGGGATATTTTTACACACAACAAAGCAAAGCAGGCTGATGTGGTCAGGGTCCAAACATTTTGTTTTGTCTATATATATATATATATATATATATATATATATATATATATATATATGCCGGACATTCCGTTTATTCTTGAAACTGACTGACCAAACAAGCAATTTGGTTGTAATAGGCCTTCACATGTAGATATTGGTGCATCTGGGAATTTTCCCCCTCATATGAAATGACACCCTGTTGTCATACTTCTCCTAAAAAGTCAAATATTTCCCAATTATTCCCAAGCCATAATAATGTAGAGTTTCAATTTAGTTATGAAAAAAAGATTCAGGAAGGTCTTTAAAAAAAATTTTATTTAAACCTGACAGAAACTAACAAAAGATACAAAATATTACACACTTGTACATGTTTTTTCCAATTATGACATCCCAAATCATTTTTCAAATTGTTCATTTTTTCAAATTATTTAGTTTTTGCTTGAAACTGACTGATCGAACAAGCAAGTCTTTGGAGGCCAGGTTGTATTAAGTCCACACATGTTGATATTGATGTGCCTTTTACAAACAGTACTGAAGTTTGAGCAGTATTTGCCATATTTGTGAAGATAATGGTAAATTCTTGCAGGCCAAGAGGCCCCCAGTTAGTGAACAGTCAATGCAAAGCTTTACATAATTCTATAGTCTACACTCTTTAAAAAGATGGTTCTTCAAGGGTTCTTTAGTGAAGAATATGGTTCTATGTAGAACCATAAGTACTCAAAGAACCCTTTGCATGATTAAAGGGTTCTTTGCATCGTGAATACATTCTTCAGATTGATGGAGAATGTGTTGTAGATGGTTCTATGTAGAACCCTTTTTGAAAAACATAGCATGAAAAGGGTTCCACTGTTGTTACAAGCCAAAGAGCCCTTTTAGGTATAATATAGAACCCTTTTTGCCACAAACATACTATACAATATTATACTATAATGTATAGCTGTATGGTAATTTTATAATTGTATAGCAATACAACTATATAGTACACAATACAGACTATACTAAACTGGCTAAACTGTACTTTTCAGGGTTCTTTGCTTGTCACTGGAGTGATACCCTCAAGAGTATCTTCGCTTATGGAGCATAATTGTGCCATATTACATTGCCATTTTTTATTGGTTCATTTTGCATTAAGAAACACATATGCATCATTCCCCTGTGAAAGTAAATATAGCGTACCTTTAAACCTCATTCAAAGTACACAAGCAGAGGGGAATTCCAAGTTGTTGTTTTTTTTTTCCCAAAATATCAGCAAGATGATGTCATGAATTCCACCAATTTCTCAAAATGTTCATATAATATAATCAGTGAGATGTAAACAAAGTCATTGAAATGGTGCATTGTGGAGAAAATTTACCAGCTCAAGTTTAGTTTAGAACTGTTTTGCCTTAGAACAATATACACATATACCTTTCAGCTATGAATGTATTTTAAGAAATATATTTTAGGCCATATTTTAATGTTATCTCAAACGTATTGCAACACAGTTTCTCAGACATGAGACAGCCTATTCATAACCATTTAAAGTAATAACTTCCTGTGATGTAACTTACAGAGGCATTAAACTCCTATCACCACCACTTGACTCGGCAAGTTTTTTCTAAAGCAGAGCATTTCACATCAAACCACTAATGGCTTTGTTGACGTATTAATTTTGAAGAATTAAAATTGGTGGAATTGCCATTCAAGTTGAAAACAAAGTCATTCAGAGCAGTTTGATATGAAATGTGTCATTCTAGAGAAAATAAGTCAAAATTGTTTACATAGTGGTGATAGGAACCGGACATCTGAAGAGTTCAATGCTTCTACAACCTCACAGAAACCTATTACATGAAATGTTTACAACACCACTGCCTCATGTCTGAGATATTGTGTTATGATAGTTTTGAGATAAAATATTAATATGAAACATATTTTAAATCCATTCATGGTGGAGGGGTACATACAGGGGGTTGTAATGCAAAAGAGTATGCAAAGAAAACATATTTTTTTCGGATCTACTGACATTAAACTATCACCAACATTACATAGAAAAGCTCAAAAAACACATTTAGGTTTTAAAAAGCAAATAAAGTCTATTTATGTTTTAGACATTGTGATCTTTGGTTCATATCACCACTACTGGAGAGAAATCAGTAAGTCTTTCTAGAGTTAACCATTTCACTCCAAACCACTCTGAATGACTTGTTTACATGTGAAGGATCAGAGTTTAGACTTTTAATTGATTTGGACTTTAGGCTACAGTCCTTTAGCTTTGAGTGACCCTATTCCTTAATGATGTTTGTTTAACTAAAACAAATGAGTGACCATCCCATTTGTCAGTACCAAAACAATCATAACACTACTTTACTGAATGTTCAGTAGTGACTGTTTTAGTAGTAACAATTTTAGGTCATTTTGAGCAGAACTCAAAAATGCTAGCCAGTACAGGAATAGCAAACACAGCTTTGAACAGTACACACATAAAATCATAATACTTTCATGAAAAACCAAAAAAATTCGGTAGAGACAATTCCTAATGTTTAACTCTGATTTGTAGACTTTGGGACACCTTTTATTCAAAACGATGGGATCTAACTTCTCACCATGTGGCCATGAGGGATACAGTCTCACTTCCTGCGCTGAAATGCAGGGGTGTGGCTAAAATAAGGATCCACCTACGGACTCTCTCTGTGTTTCAGTAGTGACATGAAAATGTGGGACAGCATTTTATTTTGAATAAATAAAAATTATCTTAAAAAAAAATACCAAACAATTGTTTAGTATTCCACTGTTGTCGGAAGAAAACCTTGTATCTCCATTTTTGACGTTTTTGAGATTTTGACGTCATTTGAAAATACCCATTTCCCTTTACATTGTATATAAATTTCATGATGAATGGACAAAAAGAAATGACTCAAAATGACTTGGAAAAAGGTCCATTGACTTACATTGAAAGTAAAGTAGTTTTTTTCCGTCTCCTGCAAAGTTACCATTTTGGAGATACGAGGTTTTCTTCCGACGATAGCGATTTACAAAATGTAAGTATTATTTTCACAAGTTGAAATTTAAGAGTTAGGGTTTGAGACAGCCGCATCCCAGTAGAAAGAACCCCATAAACGATGATTTTCAATTTCATTTACATTTCATTTTCATTTCATGGGTTTGAGTGTGGACGGAATGGTCAGTGAACATCATTTCTAACATAGAGCACTTTATTCTTGTTCTGGCTGAAGTGTAACACGGGTGCATAGAGAGGAAAAGGCTGTGTGTTTTTGCAGCCTCTGCTTTTTTAGGTCTGGAAGATGCAGCAGGAAACCGCACTGAGTGAAATGCTAAAATTAGAGCAGTACACATTTGCACATCACTACAGCAGAGAGAGAATGAGACGCAGCCAGAGACCGTTGAATTACTTCACATCAACTTTTCCCATGCATGGTGCTTTATAGCCTTTCCAGTGAATGTAAAAGCACGTGACACATGTTTGTACATGTGTGTTTGTTTGTGTCTTCTTCAGTACAAGAACCAAAGAAAACAGGGCTACACTATAATGTCAGCACCAGCCAAATAGTTGGGTTTTATAATGTTTGAGTGCTTTTAAAAACAGAAAAGCATAAGAGCATTTCTTTTAGGTTACTGTTCTTAAGGTAAGGGTGAGGTTTAGAATTAGGCTTTGAACTTACTACACGTAAATGGGCCATAATATGGCCAAAAGTATGTGGACAACCACCATCACAGTTATATGAGTTTTAGAATATTACATTCTAAAACCATGGGCATTAACATGGAGTTGCACCCCAACCCCCTTTGCAGCTATACCAGCCTCTACTCTTCTGTGAAGGCTTTCTACAGGCTTTTGGAGTGGGCCTGTGAGAGTCTGTGCCCATTCAGTCAAATGAGCATCTGTGAGCTCATGCAGTGGGGTACGATAAGAAGTGTTCAGTGGGGTTGAGGTCAGGGCTCTGTCATGCAGGAACAAGAAAGGGCCTTACCCAAACTGTTGCCACAAAGTTGAAAGCATAAAATTGTATGAAACGACTTTATACCCTGTTGGATTAGTGTTACCCTTCACTGGAACTAAGAGGCCCAAACCCTGAAAAACAGCTTATTATCCCTTTTCCACCAAACTTTACAATTAGCATCATGCATTCTGGTAGTGTTCTCCTGTCATCCACCAAACCTAGATTCATCCAACAGACTGCTAGTGAAGTGTCAAAGTGTTACCAAGTAACAACTAGTCTACTACATAACAAAGACATGGCCATGTCTTAAACATTTTACAGCAAAATGCACTTATTTAATGCATTAATGAGTAATGAATATATGATGCTAATTAAACCATACTTGGTGAGGCTTAGTACTTCATGATATGTTCATGAATAAATTTGAATCTATTCAGGCAATAATCAGCCTATGGTACTACGCAAATGGTAAGCCTACACAAGAGAGATCAGATTTACATTCATTATCTATCAATTATCTATCTATCATTATTTATCGTTTAGCATTATTTTTTTGATTTATATTAAATTTATGCAAATTACAATAACTACTCATACATTAAGTGTTCCTGTAGTGTTCGTGATATTTTTTGAATACCACCTACTTAGACTTGTATTTGTTCCCTGAAAATAAGGAATATATATGGAATCAACACTGATATTTTTATGCAGTCAACTCTGATATATATTCAATGAACACTGATATTTTTGGAATGAACATTCATATATATATATATATATATATATATATATATATAGACCATTCTGCCAAACTGGGTGAAAGTCAGAGTAGCAAACACATTTCAGACTTTTATCTGACTTGGACTTCAAACTATAATCTTTTTGCTTTGAGTGTTGAATTATGTTTATTTTAATTAACATAAATCCGTTTTGTCACTATCAAAACAATCATAACAATACCAAAAATGTACCAAATGTGTTCGTAGTGGCAATTTCATTGAATTTTGAGCATAATTCTAAAACATTAGCCAGTACATGACTAGTAAACACAGCTTTGAAGAGTTGTACACAAATAAACTCATGATATTTTTCATTAAAACACAAAAAGTTTACTTGATTGCAAGTAAACTTTGTAAGTGTTGTAAGTGTTTCGGTGGTGACAGTTACTGAGGCACATTTATTCCAAAACACTGGGATCTAACTGCTCATGTAGCCATGAAGGATGGGGAACCAGTCTCACTTCCTGCTCTAAAATGCAGGGGCATGGCTAAAACAAGGCTCTGCCTATAAACTAAAACTATTTGCATTTCAGTAAGGAGATAAATACATGGGACAAAAATGGTGATGAAATGATCAAAGGACCAAATTATAATAACAATATTACTTCAAACTAAAACTCTGTTCATTTTAATTTTAAGCTTAATCTGCATGTGAAAGAATAGCCCATGTTGTGGTAGTTTAACTCAAAGGTTTCAGTTCATTAATTTTCTTTTTTTAATACTTCAGAATTGTATATAGTTGTCATATAAAAGATTGTATGACTCAATGTAGAACACATTAAAGCATTTGCTCAAGGAAAATCAAGAAGACCTATGATCTGTTATTTATCATTTTATAGAACTCATGGGGCAGTTCCACCTGACAAACCACTAAACAGCAGAAGATCAAGCCAGCGAAGCTCCAAAATCACTCATCACCTCTTCAGGTCAGCACACTAAACTGCAGTCCAGTTTAATGGAATCTACAATATTCAAGTAAGTGTTTTCAGTGCTACTGGTTTAATCTGATAATGGTTTGTTTCATTTTTAAGCAAAACTTTCTTAAAGCAGACACTTAACTTGGCTAACTGGCTAACTAAGCATCCCCTAAAAAAGGAACCAATGTCCAGACACACTTACAGGATGTATCTTGTAAGGCTCCAAGTAAAGCAAAGTGAACTCAAATCTTTAATTTAGTCTATAAATGTTCATTAATAACCAGCAGACAATGATTCCGAAGTAGCACAAAATTCTCTCGCTATTTTTTTAGATGAATTGTGCTAAAAATGTTAATACTTTTCATCAAGCCATTTCACTATCATTTTAATTTAAGCCCATCAGTTTCCTGAAACTGTTTATGGGTCATCAAGATAACATGATTAATACTAGACAGTACATTTTAGCTGATGGTTTGATTGTGGTTGGTTTTTTGTATCTACCTTGCAACGGCAGAGTGAAAACAGTGGTCACTGTCACTTCAGTGTATGTTCTGTTCTCACTAGAATGTTGTTCCACATTCACACTGTTTCAGGGTGTTCTCCTCACAGTGTGGTAGAACAACCCTCCCTCACTCTGTTGTTAATTGGTATCAGAACATTGCAAACACTATCAAGTGTTTGTTTGAAAAGCAATGTGGTTGATATGCAGGTTCTTTTTTAGCTGGTGGTGTGATGGTGGTTTTTTTGGATCTGTTTTATCTATTTGTGAATGCAGAAGTGCACATTAGGGAACAGAGAGTGACCACAATGGTCAGTGTCATTTCTGATGCAGGCTTGGTTTCTGATCACAGAAGTGTAATATGTGAGACGTTTATCATGACTGCTGTGTAAGGAGAGTATGTGAAATGCAAATTAAAACTATCCAGATTGACCTGTATTTAAACGAAAACAATGCAAAATCAAGATAAATAATTTTTTACCTTATCAACTTCATTGTTTTGTGTAAAAATATAAGTTGATTCTGAAATAGAGCCCGCAACATGTTCTAAAAAAGTTGGGACAGGGGGAATTTAAGATTGGGAAGTTGTGAAATGTTCAAAAAACATCTTAAACAGGTGATAGAATCATGTTTATATAACATAAAGGGAAATATCCTAAAAAGGCCTAATCCATTATAAGCAAGGATGGGTCAAGGCTCGCCACGTGACAAAAATGCATATAATGCAACAGTTTAAGAACAATGGTCCTCATTCAACAATATCTTCCTTAAGTTTGTTCTTGAGAAAAAGTCTCCGTTTGTGCTCTTATGTAAGTAGATTCTGTTCTTTTCCAAGAACAAATCCCAAATAAAAAAACATTGGTGAATGCCAGAATCTTCATGAAAACTGCATAAGTGGGTTTTAAGAAGACATTTCTTCTTAAGAACAATTGGTGAATGAGGATGATTATTCCTCAACTAAAGATTGCAAAGATTTTAGGTATTTCACGCTCTACAGTGTATAATATCATCAGAAGATTTTATGAAACTTGAGAAATATCTACATATAAAGGGCAAGGCCAAAACCCACAACCATTCAGACAGCACTGCATTAAAAAATGGCATTCTTATATGATGGATATCACTGCAATGTCTTGACAAAACACTGTCAATTAACAGTGTTCATCACTGCATCCACAAATGCAAGTTAAGACTGTACTAGGCACATCAGAAGTTGTATATCAGCAACGTCCAGAAACACTGCCGAATTCTCTGGGCTCAAGTTCAGTTGAAATTGACTGATGCACAATGGAAATATGTATTGTGCTTTGATGAGACAACATTTCTGATTCTTTATGCAAATAATGGATGCCTTGTTCTCTGAGCCAAAGCAGGAAAGAATCACCCAAATTGTTACCAGTGTTCAAAAGTTCAAAAGCCAACTTGTGTCAACTTGTGGTAACTTAACACATGTGTGACAGCACCTTTAACACTGAAAGATATATGTACATATTTTGGGGCAACACATGCTGCCTTTTAGATGTCATGGACACTAATGCTTATCGCAAAATGACAATGGCAAAAAATATTCTGCATATGCTACAATAGTATGGCTGTGTAACCAGAGAGTGTGGGTGCTAGGGTGTTGGCACAGACTAGTCGACAGGTTAACTGGTCGACTTTACTGCTCAACGATGACACTTTAGGCCTGATGCTGACTAGTTGCAGATCACGTGAGTGTGACATTAACAACATGGACGCCTCAGAGAAGACAACTGGTGAGAAGCCTGGTGATTTCTCAGCCTGTGTCTCCAGTATTCTAAAGGCAAGCAATGCGATCTAGGGCTCGTTGGTAAGGGCATGTCATGCTGTTGAAAGAAAAGGTGATGTAACACTGTGGAAAACTTGCTTTTGTCCCAACTTTTTTGGAATATGTTGCAGGCATCATATTTGAAATCAGCATTTATTTACAAAAAAACAGTTTATAAGTTAAACTGTGTGCTTTAGACTTGAGATTTGTGTTGGGTGAACTCAAGAGTCCTCAAGTTTACCTATCACAAGAAACGCTACGTGATAATCTACCTTTAATATGAATTTGAGCTGCTTTTCATTTTTTATAGTGCATTCTTATGTATGTTGAGAAAATCTAGAATATTCTCCCCAAATTCACACTGTTCTACAATGTTCTACCCCATTCACATTGTTCTTGAATGTTCCCCACCATCCTCAAAGTCCTAGAATGTTTTTCCCATTCATCCCATTCTCAATGTTCTCCCCCTGAAACTATTCTAGAACATTCACATGCACATTCTAGAATGTTTACTTCATCCACAGTTTTAGAATTTTCTCCCCATTCACACTGTTTTAGAATGTTCCCCTTCGTTCACTTTTACTTCTAGGATGGTCTTCTAGAACATTCTTCTCTATTTACTCCTTTCTAGAAGGTTCTCCTCATTTGCACTGTTTTCAAAAGTTCTCAAACATCCACACTATTCAAGTATGTTCCCTCCATTTCTCTCAGTTCCAGACTGTTCTCCTTTATTCACTCTCTTCCAGAAGGTTCTTCTCATTTGCAATGTTTTAAAATGTTCTCCCCATTTCACTCTGTTCTGGAATGTTCTCCTCAATTCTCACTCTTCTAGAAGGTTTTTCTCATTGCACTGTTTTAGAACGTTCTCAAACATTCACACTACTCAAGGATGTTCTCCCCATTTCACTCTGTTCTAGGCTGTTGTTATCCATTCACAATCTTCTAGAAGATTCTCCTCATTTTGATTGTCCTCGAATTCTTTCCCTATTTCATTCTGTTCTAGAATGTTCCCCTCCATTCACAACCTTTTAGAAGGTTCCCCTAATTTGCAGTGTTTTAGAATGTTCTCCTCTATTCTCACTCTTCTAGAAGGTTCTCCTCATTTGCACTGTTTTACTTAAGGATGTTATCCCCATTTCACTCTGTTCTAGACTGTTCTTCTACATTCACACAATTTTCTCCTCATTTCCAGTGTTCTAGAATGTTCTCCTCTATTCTCACTCTTCTAGAAGGTTCTCCTCATTTGCATTGTTTTAAAATGTTCTTAAACATTCACAGTTAAAGGATGCTCTCCCCATTTCACTCTTTTTCAGACTGTTCTCCATTCACACTGTTCTTGAAGCTTCTTCTTATTTGCATGGTTTTAGAACATTCTCTCTATTTTACTCTGTTCTAGAATGTTCTCCTCTATTCACTCTCTTCTAGAAGGTTCTTCTCATTTGCATTGTTTTAGAACGTTCTCCCTATTTCACTCTGTTCTAGAATGTTCTCCTCCATTCATACTGGTTCATTTGGTTTATCAGGACATTGAAACACTACCAACATTCAAACGCTGCTGTTTGTTTGAGAACATTTAGTCGGTGTGCTTTGGCCTTTTAGGAAACAATTCAGTGCATTATGAAATCTTCAATTTTCAGACATTTAATTTGACTCAATTTGACTATAATTTTGGTACAAAACATTTTATACACAAATGTTAGTTAAAGTCCTAATCAGCTGTGTGTAATTGTTAAGGAACAGCTTTGAATGGTAAAGCATGTTAGACATTTGCTTCACGTAAGTGGAGACGGGTGACTAAGCCTTTGGAACCTGTTTGCTCCTCCAAAATCCAAAATGGTGTCAGCTCAAGTGGTTTACTGAAACTAATCCAGGTCACTGTGTGTGTGTGTGTGTGTGTGTTTTCTGGTCGGTTGCAGAGATTGAACAGAAATGTGTCTCCGTTGAAAATGGTGAGTAATACTGCCTCTCTTTTCCTCTGTAATTCTCTCTCTCTCTCTCTCTTTGTCTCTCTCTCTCTCTCCTTCTCTGTTGCTCTTGTTCTGCTGTGTTTTCAATACACCCTGATTAATGTATCAGTTGGCTGATAAAATCAGACAATATTAAAGTACTAAAACACTATTGTTATCAGCAAAAATCCCACTGTATTTTGAAGAAGCGTCTTTATTATTATAATAAAAACAGATGTCAGATGAGAAATAATCCCCATTTTTGAGGATTTTAATAAGATAGTATTACTGATGGAAATGGAAAATGGAATAATAAAATAAGTATATCATACAGTGTCATAAAGCACATAATCAAGCCTATTTCAGATTACTTAAAGAGGAATTTTACCATTTTTTCATTTGATTGTCAGTTCTGAGTGGTTTGATGTGAAATGCTCCACTCTCGAGAAACAAACAGAGTCAGAATTGTACTGTAGACATGCCAGGACCTGGTTCTTATCACCACAGCTGTGGACAATTTTGACTCAGTAAGTTTCTCTAGAATGACACATTTCACATCAAACCAATCTGAATGACTTTGTTTACATCTCAACGATTGAAGTGTGCAGAATTTTTCTGAAAAATCACTGGAAAGTCCCTTTAACGGCTCAACATGGTGTGCAATTTGCTGCTGTAACATTTTCATACATTTGCCTAGTAGCTCCAGTGCAAAACTGTTTTACAGGCTTGTATCTACATTAATGGGAATTTATGAACTGAAACCAATAGCCAGGCTAAAGTTTCAAAAATATCACTGTAACCACTGGTCTCTGAAAATTTCATAAAAATAGATAGCTTGATAATTTTGTTTTTTTTCAGGTTGCTTCAGCTATTAAGCATGCGTATATCTCCACAACAAAGGTGGGCTTTTCCTGTTTTCGAATTTACCCAGCGTTTAATTTATAAAGGATGAAGTCCTGGAACACTGTGTAGTGATGTATCCGACAGCCCAAGGGAGTAGAATGAGGTCCTAAAACAAACAAAAAAAAAAGAGAGATGCATCAGACATAACTGTCTGGTACTGTGCACTGTGAGCTCCTGTAACCAAAACCAAATTCCTTGTATGCGTAAGCATACCTGGCCAATAAAGCTTGATTCTCATTCTGATTCTGACATGCAGCTCAGTAGTCATGTTCACTTGCAGCCTAATAATTCGTTAATAATCTGACTAATAGCTGAATCGGAACATATTATGTCCTGAATTGGAATAGACTAGTCCAATTGAGGCCATTCGGGATACAGTTTGTATTGAACAAGGTGGGTGATTCTGTAAATTCTCTCTTAAATATAAGAATAATAGCCATGTAAATGCCTGTATCTGATTACATTCCTAATCAGAATGTGTGAGTATGTTCTGCGCATGTGTGTCACGTCATAGTGAAAATTTATACCGTTCAACATGGTAGGAGCAGAAACTGGTCTGCAGAGGAGACGAAGTTTATGTTTGAATTTTAAAAGACGGCAATGGGTTCCTCTCGGCCTTCTTTAATACATGTTAAGTACATTTTTCTGCCATAATTTTAAAGCAATTAAAACACAAGCACGCCAGCTGAAGACTCGTTTCACTCTGACAGGACCTCGCATGATGCTCGCTGTCATGGTAACGTGTACTCTAAGTGGTTCTCTATGCATGCGTGTCATGTTGGATCTGATTACTTGTAGTGCACATGTAAACGGAGATTTTTTATCAGATTGTTGAGTAGAGTGAGTATATAAACACCTCAGTCTTAACCTGTAATTGGAATGTGTTTTATGGGATTGGCTAAAATCCTTGCATGTAAACGCAGCCAGTGTGAGGTTTCCCCATAATGTTGGATCTAACTAACGAGCGAGCTTAGGCACTGAGTGACCTATAAGATCGTGCCGTATCAATAAGTGAAAACCATAAAGAAACATGAACTTTAAAAAATATGTGATATCTTCAAAATCCTCTTTTTGATACTGACCAGTCAGCATTCCATGTTAAACATTAACTGTAACTATAAGATGTTTGATAAGCATTTCAAACTTGAGAAAAGGGAAAAATGGAGTCTTTCAAGACCCTCACTGCAAGGTAATTGTGAATAGGCAATGCCCACTAACCCACTACATTTTGCACAAGCTTTAATTGTTCATGTTTTTAAACTAAATGAATCTAAAAAGGCTACATCAATTAACATAGCACAGTTTGAATGCATCACTCTGTAGTGGATGGATGGATGTGCTGCGTGTGGGAAGATAGCAGATTTTCTAAATGAAATTTGGTGATTTTCTATAAATGTGGCTATTCTCTGAATAATATGTGGCTCATTTTTTTTCTCATAAATACGTTGCAACCCCAATACAACCCCAGCCCCCCCACCCCACCACCACCCAGTTCTAGCACTGGCCTGATCACTACCACAAATGGACTAGATCACACTGATAGGCGATCCAGCACTAAAATAGGTGCCGGATCCAGATTCCTTTACCAAAAAGTTGAAGCTCTAATTCATGGAGGCTTGACTTTCTGTAATACAGTCGCCCTGTTACGCATTACAGGCCGCCCCACTCATTTTTCAACCAGTGAACTTTATCCTCTTCCATTTATAAAACCTCTGGCTTCACCACAAATGTATTCTTTCATCATAACTGTAGCAACAAGGCTGGATGAGCTTTAAAGTACACTGGCAAAATTCTCATTAAACCCAATGAGAAATTGTAGTACAGTGTCAAAATACCCATTTATAGTAAGTTATTCATTTATAGTAAGTTATTCATTTCATTCAATACAGATATAATTTTGGTGTGTGTGAGAAAGGTCACAATGTTAGGTCATGTGTGCAGTTTTTAGTGTGCCTTAACTGACCTCACAACACAAAAGATTGCATCTGTGGGCAGAGCAAGGGTGGATCGATTGACCAGTCAACCTCTATGGATAAAACTGATAAATCCAGCTCAGAAGAATGCATGTGTACTCAAGCACCCTGTAATTTCTCATGCGTTCTTTTTGTGACTGATGTCTCTTTTGACCAATAGGAACGCCTGACCAGAGGAGACAGGATCAAAGACAGACCTGATCGCTACAGCGACTCAGACGAAGGGGATTACCACACGCCAGAGGAACCTGTAACGCACTTCTTCCCTCCTAGAGGAGGCCAGTCAAGCAAAGAGTACGCAGGTAATGTCAGGCACCAGCAGTCGAATACAGAGTGTGCAGATGGTAGAAGGAATGTACATAACGTACCGATTTGATCTGAATATGATTCTTTAGAAAATGATTCGCTGCTTTATATTTTCTCACATTTAGATTGGATCAGATTACTTTGGTACAACTCAGAATTATTTTGAAAATTAATACAGTATTCGTATGTGGATTGAAGAGCTGTTCACACAATAAAAAAGATAAACAAAAAAAGTACATAACAACAATATACTTTGAAAAAAAAAAGAATATATTCTATAATTAATTGAATATTTTATTGAATATTATTATTAGTTTATTGAGTATTATTTACACAGTAAAAACAGATAAACCAAAACACTATACAACATACCTTGTACCAAAAAAGGAATATATCCTGTAATTTAATGAATATTTAATACATTTATTGAATATTATTATTAATTTATTGAATATTATTATGATAAATAATTAATATATTGTCACTGTAACAGAACAAAATCATTTTTGACATTGTTTGAAAATACCAGCTGCTCTTTACATTGTGTGAAAAATTCATGATGAATAGACCAAAAGAAATGGTTCAAAACAGTTTGGAATAAAATTGTGTTGCATGAAGGTGCACTGAAAATTAATAATGTTTTTTTTCTTCTGTTATAAAGTTACCTTTTTGTAGAGGTTTTGATCAGACAGTTATGATACACTGCACTGTACAAACGTCAGAGACCCTTCATTTATTAATCTTCAATCAAAGTGGCCATTAAGTACATGTTAATCATTTTTAGTGATGGGAAAAAACAACAGAACATATACATTTAACATAAAATAGTAAGGTACAACTAAATATAGTATACATTTACATTTTTTTCAGTATTTAGTGTGTCAACCCTTAGCCTTAATTACAGCTTCCATTCTTTTTGGGAGACTTGCTTGCCAGTTTTCAAAGCATTCTGCAGGGATATTTTTCTACACCTTCAAAGTTCAGTCTTAGAAGTTGTATTTTCTGCTTCTCATGATCCAAGAAGCCCCAATTACAAATTTAAACTCATCAGACATTAAAACCTCAGTGCACATCGCCAGTTTCGGTGCTCCTTTCACAGTAAGATCTACTTAACCTTACCAGTGCTGTGCAAAAGTTAGATGACACCCTTTATTTATTTTATTTGCAGTCAAAAAGTCATTAAGTACAAGTTGTTCTTTTTTCAGGACATATTTTTGAGGAGACTAGATATTAGAGGAGGAAGGGGAAAGGTAAAAAAACAGGAGCTTCTGTAACTGGAGTTCAAAAATGTATAAAATATACAGCGAAAAATGGACTCCTAACAACTGTGCAAGACCTGGTAGACCACCATAACTGTCACCATCAGATAAAGCTTTCATCTTTTAGAGAGAGGAGAAAATCAAGCCCTACTCTTTGTTCGGGTCTGAAAACATGCACAGCTGTTTCTGTCCATCTTTGCAACACAACTCACCGCTATGAGTCTGAAAGGATGTGCAGCTGTCAAGAAGCTCTTACAAAAAAGCTTGTGGTGAACAACTGACTGGCCACCCAGAGTCCAGACCTCAGCATTACTGAATGTGTTTGGGATTACCTGGACTAAGAGAAGCAGGAAATACAACCAGCTTATAAGACTGAACTTCGGAGGCGTGGAAAAATATCCCTGCAGATTTCTTTGAAAAACACAAAGCAAATCTCCCGAAAAGAACTGAAGATGGTCTCTTATTTTTGCACAGTGCTGTACATAATAATGAAAGTATTTATAGGTGAATGGATGAATGGCTTCAGTCACTGTGTAACTCTTACTCTGAATTCAAATTGGCTTGTCCTTATTAGATCAATCTGCTTCTTCTTTTATAGTACTTGTTCAAATGAAGGAAAGAATGAATGTCAGCAGTCGTGACAGCAGCTCCTGGGTGAGCTGTTAGGCATGCATGGGTGTGTGTATTTGTGTGCCAGTATGCCATATGCGCAGGCTTGGTGTAATCTTTGAGCTCAATCAGAACACAATACGCAGAATCCAAATCAGAGAGCCAGAGTGGTAAACAATGGATAGATAAAATCTGGGCGCGCACACAAAGCGCACACAGGGAAAAAAAAAAAATTTTAATATGTGTTTCACTAAGAAAGCAATGGGGATGAAAGCAGGATCTTTCTCGCGTATTTTCTGCTTTTCCTGGAATAGCACATGCCAAATACCATGAGCCCAAATCGGATTGGCATTTGTGACATGGCAAGAAAATTGCTGTCCAATTGCACGCTTTGTCTTGAAAAAGAAAAAAAGCAGATACCAAAGCATTAAAAGGCCCATATCATGGAGGAACTTGTTTTCCTCACTTTTATTTATTTCAAAGTCTTTGACGTAGTATGCAAACACACTTAAAGTTTCAAAGGTCACTGCTCAGTCCATATTATGAACACTAAGCTGCAGCCATTACTGAGAAAAGAAAATAGACAAACAAGAAGGAAATTTGCAACTCCTAGTGTTTGGGATTACTAAAAGGATGTGGTGTAGTTTATTAGGTAAAATTCTGGTACCAGATACTATCAAGTGAGCACCAGGTATGCACCCAATACTATGTGGTGTGCACCAGACACTATCAGGTACTATGTGCATCTAGGGCACACCTGATAGTATCAGGTACTCACCACATAGTATCTGCTGTGCACATAACAGTATCTGGTGCTCACCTGATACCATCTGTTGCACAACTGATGGTATCTGGTGCTCACCATATAGTATCTGGTGAACACCCAATAATATTACATAGTATCTGGTGCTCACTTGATAGCATCTGGTGCGCACCAGATTTGTACCTAAAAAAGTATACTATGTCCCTTTAGGGGCTCCATATACTTGGATTGTTGAAAGCAGAGAATGCAAATAACTGAACTTGGAAGTGAGGAAAAATGTCTCTGCAGATTCCTGAAAACTGAAATCTCTGCAGATTTCTGAACTGAAAGCAAGTCTCCTGAAAAAAAAGGAAGTTGTAATTAAGACAAAGGGTGCAGACCCTAAATACTGAACAACATGATATTATATTCAGTTGTTGAAGCTTCTGAGCCATTTCGTTGTAAATATGTTTTTCTGCTTTTTCTCCTGATGTTGAAAAAGAAATTATATATCTGTCACTGCCCAGTCCATACAGCCCATATATGAAAACCAAGCTGCAGCCTGTTTCTAATATTTCTAATTAATATAAATGTTGGAAAATGGTGAGGTAAACATGAATTACTGCTACTTTTTGGTAAATAAAACCACACAAACAATATAAGAAAAAAAGTTCAAGAAAATAACAGGATATGGGCCCTTTAAAGGGGATTCTACAGATTTTTCAAGATTTCTCCCTAATTCAATTGTTGAGATGTAAACAAAATCATTCAGAGTGACTGATTTCTTTACAGCGGTGGTGATAAAAACCGAAGTTCACGATGTCTATAGAGCAAATAATGCCATTTTATTTACTATCCGAAATGACCAGTGAACCTATATGTGTCTTCTGAGTTTTTATATGTAATGTTGATGATCGTAATATAGTGTTACTGTTAAATAGTTTTCTTTGGTGACTGTTTTGCCTTACTCCACATGTTACCCTCCGCCATTAATATCGTTTTAAAAATGCATTGGATTACACATTAAAACTCTCAAAACTATCAACAAATAATAATTCAGGCATCAGGCAGTGTATTCGTAATAATTTAATGACTCTCTGACATGGAGATTTTAAAGGTGGAAGTCTGGTTCCTATCACCACCACTGTAAACATTTCTCACTCTGTAAGTTTCTCTAAAATGCAACATTTCACACCAAACAACTCTGAATGACTTTGTACATTAATTATTTAATTATGCAGAAATGTTGAAAATTCTAAGATATAATGGCTTGAAAACTGTCAACCTCTGTCTACCGCGGCTTAATCATGCGGGGGCTGGAAACTTTTGTAAAGCTGCTTTAGGACAATATCAGATATAAAAAGCCTATATAAATATCAGTTGATTGAATCGAATGGAATTGAACTGGACTGAAAAGCAGAGAGTTGCATGCTTACCCACAAAAAGGGTTTTATGGAGCAATTCCATAGAAGAACCACCTTTGGGACCCTTTCATTAGGTGGGTATTTAAAGGGCCATATCCTACATTTTTCTTGTGTTTACAATGTTTGTATGGTTTCATGTACCAAACATATTCATAATTCAATTTTACAACCTCTTCTCTTCATCCCTTACAATTAAACACACACATTGAGACTGCTATATGTAATGATCTCTGTTTTGATTGGCTGTTCTGTATTGCATACAGAATCATTCAAAAACAGTCTAGGCTTATAACTTCAATATGAATTGACAGGGCGAAAGTGCTGTAGGCTTAATAGGCGAATATTTTAAATGTGTTATTTTTATGGCATCACAAAAAACTTTAAAGCTGTTCTACAGCTCACCTGAAGCCTAAGTAATATATTATAATTATCTATTATTTGTTGATTATTACTTATTAAAATCTATTGCAATTTTTGTCAAGTTATCTACCTTGTCAAATTATCTACTTTTGCAAATATGAGGGATTCTGGATATGAATATCATTATTAACTTCTTTCTTACAGCTTTCCTTGTTATTATGTGATCATGTTTGTGTTCATCATTATAGACACATCTACTATTTCTTCATTTTATACAGCTTCCAGCAAACTTACTTTATTAAACTAAAATTACTAACTAAAGTGTTTATACTGTCAGAATGTTTACAGTGGAAGTAGAAGTAGATTTAAATGAGTGGATTCTATAAGTGCTCCAGTGTTTCCATCTAGTGGTCAAAATATGTTACTGCAATGGGTGTTAAAGCATTGGCCTAAATAAGTGGTGCACAACTCCAGTCCCGGAGGGCCAATGTCCAGCACACTTTGGTAGTGTCCCTACTCAAACACCTTCACTAAACCTAGCAATTATCAAATGAGTTCATTCAGGTGTAAGTAGAGAATTTACCAGTCTGCCCTGCAGGACCAGAGTTGTGCCCCCTGGTCTAAAACATTAGACCAGAGGTTCTTAGTGCTGGTCATGGTGTGCTGCTGTACATTTTAGTTTTTCTTTGTAAGCTAATCAAAATGCAAAGCAGTGGTGCTCTCCAGTGAGAACGTTCATTTCACTGAACGTAATTTTTGCGATTTTGATTATGTACTGTGTTCCAGCCAGTATGATACTTTAAATGTGGTTTATGCAGTTTTATACAGCATCGTGTGCTGAATTCTGGGGAAACATTTATAGTAACAGTTACAGTACGGACAATAGTTACAGTACGGGCAGATTATAAAATATCAAACAGCTTATCATGCACTCTCAGAAGGTACTAGACTGTCACTGGGGTGGTGCCCCTCTTATCGTTGGGGTGGTACCTTTAGTTAGGGAACATCCATAGACCACTGTAGTCGTGTCGTCATTTTATAGTCGGCGCCTTGCTCTTATGCCCATATTAGGAATTCCGGGTCTAAGCTCCATTTCTCTATGGGCAGAATGAATAGGGTTTTCGACAAATCGCCTCTATCGCATCCTGTGTTAAATAAAAATGGTCAGAACCCGATAGAGTTTGTCCTCTGAACATTCTTCTGCCAAAAACCACTGGATCCTCTGAATTACGAGGTTGTTAAAGAATTGAAATATGAATATTGCCACATGTATGCTAAAGCTACTGCACACGGAATTCACGTCATTAGACTGGCAGTCTCTTTAAGCAGGTTTTGGCAGTAAACATTTCCATGTACAGACTGAGGGCAGATGAAAAGAAGTCAGAACAAAAAAAGCAGGTTTCCCTGCAGTTCTCTGTTCTTTATCTGATACTCACTGAAACACGATAGATCTTTCCTTTTAGTTCGATTTGAAAAGATCTACAAATGTACCTGCACTCAGACTAGTCCAGAAGAGACTCAGCTAAATATCACTGCTCACCCCTGATAAACTGATTTAGGCTCTCAGAATATCCTAATTATTATTTTAATGCTGGTAACTTTTTTCAGAGGACATTTTCTCAGCACATTCGCCAGCTTTTTGTTCAACTTTTCCTGTTCCGCCTTAAATGGTGCAGCAGTCGTGTTCCGAACTGCTGCGCCATTTGAGGTGGAAGAGGAACATTCAAACAAGAAGCTGGCGAAAAAGAAGCTAAGTTCAGTCTCGTAGTTTTAACACGGGTAGTATTTTTTGATAAGGCATTTTAGCCTATCAAAATGTCCTACCCAGACATTTTATTTACGGGTGTACCCGTAAATATATGCTACGGTAAAGGATTTCGATAAGGTAGCACAGCTCCTCAGAGCACCACCACAGCCCGCCTTAGTTTTGAGTAACGTTAACTTAGTGACATCAAATTCATGCACAGTAGCTTTAGCTCGCATGTAACAATATTAGCATTAAGGCTCTTTAACGACCTCGTAATTCGGAGGATCCAGTGGTATTCGGGAGACAAATGGACACAGGACAAAACGTATCGGGTTCTGAACATTTTTATTTAACACAGCGTGTGATAGAGGTGATTTTTCAAAAACCATATTCGTTCTGGCCATCAAGGAATGGAGCTTAGACCCAGAGCTCCTAATATGGGCATAACGAGGACCACAGAATAACGCACGATAACAGTGGTCTATGTATCATAATCCATTGCAATTACATATTTTAAGCTGCATTGACTCCACACATGCTGTCTTGTCTCCAGAGTTTTTACTTTATTGATCTCTTTTAAAGCGTTAAGTAAAGAAAAAGTACAAATATGTGCCTTTCTTTCTTTCGGGGGATAAAAATATGTATATATTGTACTGTTGTACCTTTGAGGACACATTTACATTGTTTGTACCTTGATGAATGAAAAATATAGTTGCATATTCCATTTTTACCCGGTCATGCTGCTGACAAGGATGCCAGCATCCAAAACACAACATATCACTGCTGTCAGAAGAAAACCTCATATCTCCGTTTTTGTCGTTTTTCAGTTTTTGACATGATCTGAAAATACCTTTTGATTTGGAAAATACCAGATTTCATGATGAATGGACCAAAAGAAACAGGCCAATGGACAAAATTCTGGTTCCATTGACTTTCATTAAAAGTAAAGTATGCTTTTTCCTTCTGCTGTAAAGTTATCATTTTGGAGATATGAGGTTTTCTTCCGACAACAGCGATGTGCTGATTTTCTGGTGACCAGAGATGCTCGTCTATGCTGTTTTTTTCTAGCAGGAAATGCATCTGTGACGCAGTGTAATTGCAGTATGTTTATACTCACTTTTAGCTATCTAATAGCATGCTAGCTTATCTAGTACAACATGTGCCAACATAAAAAGGATATTTAGTTCATGGTCATTAAATTGCAGATTTTAATGTAGAAAACTTTCTACCACTGCTACGATAACGTGAATTTCAGCTAGCTATGGGATTCAGTCTGTGTATGTGTCATAGCCTGCAGGCCAGCATTAATTCTATGGTGGTCTAAGCTGGTTTATGCTAGTCTAGTGCTGGTCTGGTGCTGGTTTGGCTGGACACCCAGCAAGGACACCCAGCATGGTCACCAGCACTAAAGCACAACACACGCTGTTTTTGCTGGTAACCAGCCATGCTGGTCTATGCTGTTTTTCCTAGCAGAGCTGTTAGCTTGAAAGAAATAGATGTTTGAAAAACTGAAATAAAACTTGATTCTTTTGATACGATTTTTGGCTCTATAAATGAACTCAGTTGAATGAACTCTTTCATTTCCTAATATTTGTGTGCACATATATATATATATATATATATATATATATATATATATATATATATATATATATATATATATATATATATATATATATATATTATTCAGACAAGAGAACAATGTTGATTACAGTAATATACTGCTATCAATATGTAGTCTTTGTACTGCCTTTAAAAGCACAGCACAATGTCACTATTCTAGACAAACATTACACAATAAGTGCTGTAAATACTAACTACAGTAACTTTGCTGCCAGTAGTTTACTATATATTTACAGTGTAAAAAACTGTGTCCTGCTGCCTATATAATATTGGTACTGTGTGTGTGTTGCAGACAGACTTCCGCTGAGAACATGGGCTTCTCGAAGTGCAGCAGAAGATGTCAAGGTGAGGGTCTCACAATCCTTTACAAACATCATTATGTGTGGGAGTACGTTAGATGGTTATATTGTGTTTAAAGCTGACAAGCGTGTTTATTTTTGTATCTGCAGAGTGTTCTGGACATTCCTCCACGGCCGCCGAAGAGAACAATAGGTAACTTCATCTTACAGGAGATTTATTTATTTATTTTTGGGCCACTGCATATGTAACTGCTCACTAATTAAAACCACATTAAAAATCTCAAGGATTTTTATAATTCCAGGGCCTTGGCTAATAATTTTACCTGCATTCACTACTTTACCTATTTCAGTTTTTCTCCTTTGTTTATTCTTCCTTTCCACATTATCTTAAAATATTTTTAGGCTGGCTTGCTGGAATCACTCACTCGTGTTTTTGATAGAATTTACCACAGAGGTCTGTGCTTGTGAAAAAATGAATGGATGAAAAATATAGCAAATATATTAAGGAAAATGCAGATTAGTGCAGCCAAAAGAAGGTTAAAATTAGTTTGTAAAGTACTTTTTATGTTGTATGTTTAATTGTAATATGTGACATGTTCTATGTAAACAGGTGAAGCCTATCTTGCTATATCAGAACCACATAGATAACTGCAGATTACAGAAAGTTTATCCAGATTAAACATTTTTGAGATGTTCATTCAAAAGTACTGCTTGTTGAATCAGTTCGTTTCAGACAAAATTTTGCTGGAGTTTAGACTTAAAACTTGATGATGTGGTTAATGTTAGGTCACTTTTGCACTCAAAACCTGATGTGATTTGGGCTGGGTTGGGTTTGGACCGAACCCTTTTAGATTTGGGTCAGTTTTAGACTTAAAACTTGATGATGTGGTTTTCAGATCAGGTCAAATTTGGACAGAATTTTGTTGGACTTGATGTGGTTTGGGTCGTGTTGGCTTTGGATGGGGTTTTATTGGATACAGGTCAGTTTTTAGCTGAAAACTTGATACTGTAGTTTGGATCAGGTCAAGTTTGTTGGACTTAGGTCAGTTATGGACTCAAAACTTGATGTTGTTCGGGTTGGGTCAAGTTCAACATTAAATATGATGATGTATATCGAGTTGGGTCAGACTCGGACAGAGGATTATCAGGCTGCGTTTGTGTTCAGGCCAAATTAATCCATTATCAAAAGAGGTAATGGGGAGATAAAATTATGCAGTCTGTAATTGCAGCAATACAAAATACACTCTGTTATAAGTGGACCTGATAAGATGGACAATGAGTGTAGAGAGGAGGTAGGTAAACAAATATTTCACAAGGTTGAATTGGACCTTCCGTAAAGCTTGTCCAACATAGCAACAGTAGCTACTGTTAATGGGAGCATGGTTTGGTCAATTATGAGAATGTTTGAAAGGAATACACCCATAATTACTTTAATTGTGCTTTGACTTCCTTTTAAACAGGAAATGCAGCGCCGGCTATAAACAGAGACCTGAAACCAGGCAGACAGCCAAAGATTACATCAGGTTTGACTGAGTTCTCTATTCCTCTCTCATACAGGCACACAGTCGTCTTTGTGCAACCTGAAGACTGGCATTTAACAGCCATTCCTAACTTTGGGTTAAATGTAGATTCTACTACATGGACTAGTTGTCAAAAGTTTGAGCACATCTGATTACATGTTTTCTATTCCTTAAAGACATTTTTGTTTGAAACGCTTTTGCTTAAATTACTGAAATTTGTTTTTATAGAGTACAGTCAGGTCCAATATTTGGATGGTGAAGTTATTGTTATTTTAGCTACTACAGCAATGCAGACTATTAGCTTTAATTACACTAATTTACATCCAAATTGGGTGTATGAATTACAGCCATTATCATATATTGTCCTACATTTTTGTTTTCTTAATTTTGTCAACAACCAAATATTTATGAACCTAACTGTATTCATCAGCGGGGAGTCTTCAGGTCTCTCTGAAGGCCTAATGATTTCTAGTGTCATCACGCTTGTTGTATTTAAATAAGTAAGGACTGTAGTGCTACTCTTTTTTAATTGCTTAGTCTTGGTTGGAAAGAAAAGGGTTGGAATTTTGAAACTCCCAAACTACAACACTTCAATCATAATTAGAAAGTAACAGTGAAATCAACCAATCATATTGTCATTTTCCATGGGTGGGGCCAATTTTCTGAGAGAAAATATCTCTCTAGGCCTTCTGGAAGTCCAAGATACATCACTAACTGTGAATATGATTGGTAGTCTAACCAGGTTTTACTCAGTCGTCAGAAATGAAAAAAAGCAACATCTCCATGGCAGTGCTCTTTACTAAAAGAACCACTGTTAAACTGAAACATGCATGGTAAATATATTCTAATGTCTATTACAAGCTTCAAATGTCTGTGCTTAATCAAGAATGGCCCAAAGTGTTCATATGTACCATTGATAGCCTTACATTAACATATTAATTGACATCACATATGGGCGCTGAATGAGTTTAGACATTTATGGCCCAAACTGAAGGTCTGGCTGTATTTATTACAGTTCACCACCAGTATTAATGTGTAACCATAGCAAAAATATATGTGTTCCTTCTTCAGTCATGTTAGAAAAGCATCCTAGGTGACTCCTTATTAAGTCTAAAATAGGGGTAGTGTTGATTTAATACTTTTTGGTCCCTGAATAATTCTATATCCCTTCACTATTATTGAAAAATGTGAAAAACAGTCCTTCAAGCATAGTTGTGTTCAAACTTTTGAAAGGCTCTGTGATTACAGCCTTTGTAGTGTTGGGGCACTTAAAGCTTTTCTGAGACTAACTGTGTCTAACATAACGTTCTTTTACTACTTTCCTTGTATAATAATGTGTCTCAAGAGATTTTATGTATTCTTTTCCTCTGTGTGCAGAGCAACGACCACAGACTGTAGGCTCTAATGAAATGGTAAACAAGCTGCACTTATATATTTTCACAAACATCTGGTCATACTTTACTACCATATCATGCACAGTGACTTTATTTTGAGTGGTCCTTTTTAGATGAAAATAAACACTCCACAGACTCTCAGTAACATATCAATATGTAGCAGCAGTGAATACATTCAGTAAATAATCTAGAGACTTTTAACTAACTACAGTCTATTGTAATCTGGTGAATTCAGCTGTTTTTCACTTTATTTGGAGTGTTCAAGTTCATAACTGTAGATGTGAACATGAGAGGTCACTGAATACGTAACAGGTATAATACAGACCATCTCTAGACATGCTGTTGACACCATTCTGGAACTGGATTTTAACTGGATTAGGTTTTGGTTAAGGTTATAGTTAGGATTAAGGCCAAGGTGAAGGTTAGGATTAAGTTTTAGATTGAGGTTAAGGTTAGGGTTAGGGCCAGGGTGAGGGTTAGGATTAGGTTTTGGGTTGAGGTTAAGATTAGGGTTAGAATTAGATTCAGGGTGAGTGTTACGATTGAGTTTTGGGTTGAGGTTAAGGTTAAGGTTAGGATTAGGGCCAAGGTGAGGGTTAGGATTAAGTTTTCCATTAAGGTTAAGGTAAGGGTTAGGATTAAAGCCAGGATGAGGTTTAGCAATAGGTTTTGGGTTGAGGTTACAGTTAGGGTTAGGATTAGGGCCAATGCAAGGATTAGGAATAGATTTTGGGTTGAGGTTAAAGTCAGGGTTAGGATTAGGGCCAAGGTGAAGGTTAGGATTAAGTTTTGGGTTAAGGATAGGGTTAGAGTTAGGGCCAGGGTGTGGGTTAAAAATAGGTTTTGAGTTAAAGTTAAGGTTCGGGTTAGGATGAGGGCCAAGGTAAAGGTTAAGATTAGGTTTTGGGTTGAGGCTAAGGTTAGGGGTAGGGCCAGGGTGTGCCTTAAAATGAGGTTTGGGGTTGAGATTAGGGTTAGAGTTAAGGCCAGGATGTGGTTTGTTGATGTGTTATTAATACTTATTAATCATCTACAAAGGACCACTCAAAGGTGTGGTCCCGATGAACAAGCTTGTTACTGTTGGGCCAAACAAATACAGTACATGGATAAATATGTCATACCAGGTTATTGATTGTAATGTCAATATTTGTTTGTTTTTTTTAGAGCTCAAGGATACCACCAAGGTAAACAATTTTATTAACTTCACCATATTTTATATTGCCATAATAAATGCTCCTAAAGAATTTGTACTGTGCAAAAGTCAGGGACCACCCTTCACTTATTTCATTTTCAGCCATTAAGTACTGGTAAGTTATTAAACGGCAATTAAATGTAATGTATATAAAATATAATGTTTTTAGTTGGTGTGTCCACTTTACCTATGCCTAGTACAGATTTCTCTTTTTGAGACTTGCTTTCAGTTTTTCAGAGAAATCTGCAGTGATATTTTTCTCACACCACAAAAGTTCAGTCTTTTGTCATTGTTTTGGTTGCTTGCTTGCTTTTTCTGCTACTCATGTTCCAAGTAATCCCGATTACCATTTTAGACTAATCAGTCCATAAAACCTCTGGGCTCCATCTGAGAAGACCAGCAGCTTCCTTGTTTGATAAGTACATCTTGATCAACTCAGCAGTGTGCTTGGGGTTGTTACCTTTCTGTAGAATTAATTTCTTTCAAATCAAACATTTTCCAAAGGTAATGGCATAATGTATTCAAGCTTGTTTGTACTTATCAGCATTCATGATGCCTTCAATTAAGATGTTGCTTAACTGATGCTAGTTGACATGGTTTAAAGAATCTCTCATTGCTTGAGTGACTTTCTGTTACTTCCAAAGATCTTAAATTTGACTTATTAGTCCATAAAACCTTATTACACATCTCAGATGTCCAGTTTCTGTGTTCTAGTGCACATTTCCTTTTCTCAGTTACGGCTTCTTGACAGCTACACATCCTTTCAGACTCATAGCATTCTCAAAGTGGAAGGATGGACAGAAACACTTCTGGATTTTTTCAGATCTGAAGCTGCTTGATTTTCTCCTACTTATCAAAGAGGAAAGCTTTAAGTGTTGTTTATCTGATGGTGACAGTTTTAATATTTTTTAAACTCCAAACTCCAATTTTCTCCTTCTTCTTCCTTATGTAAATAGATTATATTATATCTGATCTCTTTAAAAATGAATAACTTGTACTTAATGTCTGTTTTAAAATATGAAATAAATGAAGGGTGGTCTCTTTTGCACAGTACTTTACAAAGGATTAGCTTTTTTGAGTGAATTTTGGCCTTGTCTATGTTCCAGGCCAGTGAAATCTCTTCCAAGGGACATGGGAAGCCAGTTGTGTCCTCCAGTCACCAAACCCCAGACTTTTGATCACGCTGGCGATTCACCCCCACATAGACCCCCACCCAGCACACCTCACCGTCCTACAAAGAGCGATACACACACCTGGCCAGGGTGAGTGACTCGTACCAGCACAACACACACTGACACACCACAACCGCGTCAATGTCACTACAGTGCTGAGAATGATCCGCTACCTAAATAATACCTGCTCTGTGGTGGTCCTGTGGGGTCCCTGACCAATGAAGAACATTGTAAAAGGCGGCTAACAAAGTACGCAGAGAAACAGATGAACTACAATCTGTAATTGTGTTACCTTTATGTCACCTTTTCTAATGGTACACAGCTGCTGATGTTAGACATTCACAATGACTGATTTCCATTTTAATGCAATACACTTTTTGGCAGTCACTAATAGGATTAATGCAAGTCTCTTCTGTTTTATAGTATTTCTGTTTCTGAGATTAGAAGTAGAAATATCTGGATCTGTTGGAAAAACAATTCCATGAATCTTGGATATTATGTTACAAGCTTCTTGTCAGAAAAAAAAAAAAACAGTTCCTTCAGCTGAGCCACATCTGAAGCAAAAGGGTGAGATACAAGGGTTAAATTTGAGCAATTTAGATGGGGTGACATAAAGTTGATGTAAAAAGTTAAACTGAATTAATGTATTCCTGGAGTTTAAGGTAGATGCAACACCAACTCTACATAAAACACTCCACAATTTCACATCTATGGTCACACCTAAATCTCTCTCCCATCTAATCTTTGATGTTTTTGGTTCAAACACAGACTGGCTTGACATGAGTGCCTTATAAAATCCAAGTAATAATTTTCTGTAATGGCTAATCTGTGACACACGGCTGTTCCATGTGTCGTAATGTGGAGGCTCCCCCAGAATTAACTATTGGTTTTGAGAAAAAAATCTCATAGTTATAAATAATTAAAATTGCATAGACTGTATTTTTTTCTTGGCCTTCTCAAAAGCCACAAAGCTCCTTTAATATAGTAATGTTCAAAACACTGAATTCCTTTTTCCGGCCATACTCTAAAGCTTTCATTCTGAAGAAACATTGGGAGCAATTTATTTTTCCATAGGGGTATTTTAGGAGAGAGAGATCCCTCATGTCCAAATAGTCACTACAATTTGCTGTGAATGATTAGTGGGTTATCTGTTGCCATTTTAGTTGACTTTGTATCCCATTTATATATCAGGTCTGTTGGAGTTTCCTCCTTTATCTCAACATTTTTAAAAGCCATGGGGGAAAAAGGGCCCCTATCAAATATCTAAGCAAGGAACCCGGATGGATCTGTCTAATAATACATTTTAAAATGAGGAAGTTTCAATCCTCTGAGAGCTAATTTATCTAGGCTGACGCTTGAAGTCACACCATATGAAATGTCTGATCAGTCCTTTCAGAAAGGGAAAAAAGACACTGGCACATGGATAGGAAGTAATTGAAATTTATAAATAAATTGGGGTAGAACTTTATTTTTAATTCATTGATTCTGCCAAATATTGTAAGTGGAAAACCCATCCATGTGAAGTCACACCCCACACCTTCTCCAAGAGACTACCAAGGTTGAGTTTATACAGGTTTTTTAAATTGCCATCCACAGTTCTATACAAATATTTAAAATTAGTAGTTGAGCAGCTGAAAGAAAACCTATTACTATTACTAAGTTCTATAATCAAATACAGATAACAGCAGTTCAGTTTTATTAAAATTAATCTTATATCTGGTAAAAGTGCTATATGTCTGTAATACATCTTATAAATGAAAAAAAAGATGTTTTGGGATCAGTCAAAAAGAAGAACATCCTCTGTAAAAAGTGAGATCTTGTTGGGGATTAGGTTTTTTTTTATGCCTAACCCATCTGTGGTGTTTTTTGGCAAAAAGCTCTATTTGTGTCTCATCTGACCATGGTTTCAGTGATGGTTCGTGAACTCCAAGGGCTTCTGAGGTTTTCTTCAGGCACGCCTTCTAAATAGTGTTTTACATCGAGGTGCTGTTGAGTTGTAGTTTTGGAGGCTTTATGACCCCAGGACAAAACCATCTCCAGCACTTGTCCTGATTCTTGAAAAAAGTTTTGCCTCTCAAACAAACCTTCTTAGTTTGCATGAGGGCAACATACATGGTCACTGGAACAATGGGGCAAGCAAGCATTTGACTGACAATCTTTGGAAGTACTGGGCCAACTACACAGAACACGTGACCTATAAGCTTAAACTGACCAGTTACAATCTATTACCAGTAAATGTGATGCATTAACTAATATTTATGCACTTAGTTATTGTTGACGTTCCAAACTTTGTGAAATGAATGTCAATTGAAATATTTTTTATACAATTACTGAATGTCAATTGAAATATTTTTACTGCTTCCTAGCCAAACTAGACTTTGATGTTCCTCTGAGATGTTAGCTAGCTAAGTTAGTTATCTGAGTGAATGTTTATAACATTGTGAATTAAGCATTTACTGGGATATATTATTATATTATAGCCTTGGCAGAGTCTCTATTTAGAGCTGAAAGTTAGTTTTAGTTAGCTTTCACATTTTAGTCAAGTTTTTTTTTTTTTTCCTCTTTTATTAAGAACAATTTAATTTTGCCCCTCCACTTTTGGAACTGTGGCACTGCTCCCAGGTAACACACATTTTTCCTATTCCAGGCAAGTTCTCCATGTAACTTGTTAATTACTGCCTTGATGGGGGGGCTTAATACTCATTGCTCATTTCATTGTATGCTCTGTGATATTTCTCATGTTAATGGATTACATATAGTTATAGCTGACTAAGCATTTGTAAAGACCCAAGCGAGCTTGAAAAAGTATATAAATGAGAATATATGCAGATAAAATTTTACAGACAATAAATTATACAGACAATTTTTTATAGTCTCATAATTACCAAGAGTGCCAGTAAGTCTGGGGGTACTGTGCACATTGACTCACACACAAGCACAGACATGAATGCACACATTTAGACCAGAGGCACACACAAGCAAAGTATACATAACACATGAAGCAACCTGTACAACAGTACAATATATCGAATGGTGTATTTATAGATAGGAAGTTTTATATAAATATATATATATATATATATATATATATATATATATATATATATATATATATGATTGTATCATGTTATAAATATATATATATATATATATATATATATATATATATATATATTTATAACATGATACAATTATGGTAAAATTGGCTTGTTTGTTCTTCAGCAGCAGCAGCAGCAGTTCAAGCCCACAAGGAAGTGAGACTGTAAGTTGCTTTTCTTCAGAAAAATATGACATGAATAAGCATCGTTGATACCATACAGGCAGTAAATGTGCTCTTTTTGTTCTTCTGACTGCCAGGTTAACAGCCGGTCATTGGGTAAGTGTCTAAGCTGATCTTCTCTCAGTCCTGTTCACTCTAATTCATCTCGTCATCTCTAGTAATTTCTGTAGACCAGCCAGTTCTTTGAGCTCAACATTGGAAGCCAAACTGGTTTTGTAATGACTAGACAAATAGACAAATAGATCCTATGATGCATTCTATTTTGTTGTCCTTAATCACATGCAGTGCAACTTTGGTTCAAATGCATCCAATAAAACTTTTTATCAACATCTGACACATTTAGTATTGCAGAACATTTTAGAGCCAAAAAATGTGATGATATAGAGACAAATTATGACATGTTAGTTTAAACCCAACTGCACTGCTGCTTATAATGATGATCAAGAAAACTGAAATTTGGGTGGTGGACCATACTTGAAGCTCTTCCTCTTTCCAATCTAACGTCCCATAAATTTCTATTTATACCTTCCATTTTCCATGATAAAGTTTTTGCACCCCTCAGTTCTCTCTCAGTCCAGCCTCTGTTCATCAAGAGGGTGGGGTGCGCATGTGTGTGTCCAGTTTTATAGCTCAAAATAGATGCCACCCAGAGCTCCAGCCCAAGCTCTCAGAGTTCAGAGAGGATTCAGTATTGAAAAATGATGAACTACTGTTTAAGCAGACTGTTTAATGTGATTCAGTGAAAGAATCCTAAATTCACAAAACTACTCATCCTGTCAACTCTAGCTCTCTCAGGGTTCAAGGGTGACACCTCCCATAGACTCTCCCTGGATCTGGAGTCACATGACCTAGAACGAAGGTAATTCACTCTGGACTAATAACAATACTTCTTACAGCACTGTTGTGGCTATAGGTATATTGGACGTGTAGTCTAATAGCCACATAGCTACTAGATTAAGTTCTGAGCCTTGTATATGTATATGCAACTGCAGATGCAATATACATTCACTGAGCATTTTATTAGGAACATCTTGTATCTACAATCACTGTCTATTTTATCAGCTCCACTTATCATATAGGAGCACTTTGTAGTTCTACAATTACAGACTGTAGTCCATCTGGTTCTCTGCATACTTTGTTAGCCCCCTTTCAGATTGAGCAGAAAATAGCATTGAATAGTTCCTAAAGAAATGTTAAACAAATTAAATCATTTATCCATGCTCACAGAAAGTTGAATTCAAAAACACTCAAATTACAAATTACATTTTGAAAAAAAAAATTCTGTAAATTTTAAGACGCAATTTCTATTTATTTGCTAACTGTAACACATATATAATGTGCCATTACTTATGCACAGGCAACAATTTATGTCTATTTTCCCCACAATATGTTCAATTCAGCAAATAAACCGTAATTGTACATCAAAATGTATGAAAATATGAATCCTTTGTTAACTTTTTTTCACTTAGGAAATCAACAAAACATGCTGTTTGACTTGGTTTGCCTTTGCATTTGACTGTAAACACCACCCAAACAATTAAGACAAATTCCTAATACATGGTGATGTTTGTGTAAAATAAATTTGATTCTGATTCCACACCATAGTAAAGAAGGCTACCACTACTACTACTACTACTACTACCACTACTACTACTTTGTTTTCTTTACAAATTCTATCATCACTTTACCTCATTGGCTTAAACAATACAATAGAGGCCTTAGAGCAATGTGTAAACTCAGCTTATTATGGGTCTTTATAATTATCTCAAGAGTTGACTCAGATGTGTTAGAGCAGGGAAACATAAAAAATATGACCAGGAGCAAGACTGATGGCTAAACCTGTAAGGCCTCCAGATTATCTCCCAGTCATAGAGATTAGTTTGAACCTCTCTAGTCAAATTATACGTTTTGTTGATTTTCTAAGTGAAAATAAGTTAACATTTATTTTTCTTTCACAATTTCTATTTTTGTTTTATTATTATTTTTTTTTTCTGGCTGAAATATGAGACATAACATATAAAATGTGCCATAACCTTTGCACAGGCCACATTTTTTCCCCAGTATGTTAAATTTAGCTAACAGGAACTGTGCATTAAGATTTGCAGAAGTATTTTCTCCCTAGAGGGTATGTGTTTATTTCATGTGGGCGCACAAAAACTGTACAACTGTAGCTCAAAGAAATTGCCTTACAATAATGCCCAAAGTTTAAAATAGTTATTGGGCCTTTTATGGGAGCAAGGAAAACACTTTATAATGCAGTGGCCATTTATGACCTGGATCTGAAAAATGAGGCCTTGAAATAATACTTAACAGTTGTATAGGAGAATGCAGATTAAGAATTTGCAGATAATGCAATTTATCCATGCTCACAGAAACTGTCGCAAGGTTTTACCAGCTTTACAGAACATAGACAAAAAAAAAATTCCCATTCAACTTGACAAATTGTAGCACAATCAGTTTAGTGAAAATAACTTAGTGTGCAATATTATATTTACTTTGCATGTATGGGAAAGGTAACATATTTAGGACAGATGAGATCAGTGGTGTAGGCAGGGACAAAATTTTGGGTAGACATGTAAAAAAGTGGGCAGGCCTAACTTGGTAGATTTCCAAATGAGCTAATGTCTCGCAGTGTCATTACATCAGGCTATAAACTATTCCTGCAGCAGTGCAGTCATCACCTATTCCAGTGCTTCTGAAACAACATTTCAACAGCCTTCTACAACCCCATTTCCAAAAAAGTTGGGATGCTGTGTAGAATATGAATAAAAAGAGGATGCAATGATATGCAAATCATGTAAACCATATTTTTTGAAGGAAAATAATACAAAGACAACATATTAAATGTTGAAACTGAGAAATTTTATTATTTTTTGAAAAATATATGCCCATTTTGAATTTGATGGCAGCAACACGTTCCAAAAAAGTTGGGAAAGTTTACCACTGTGTTTCATCACCTCTTCTTTTAACAACACTCTGTAACCTTTTGGGAATTGAGGAGAGCGACTGCTGTAGTTTTGAAAGTGATTTGTTTTCCCATTCTTGTTTGATACAGCATTTCAGCTGCTCAACAGTTCAAGGTCTTCTTTGTTGTATTTTTAATTTTATAATATGTCAAATGTTGTCAGTGGGTGCAGGCAGGCCAGTTTAGCACCTGGATTCTTTTTAACACGGAGTAATGCTGTTGTAATGCATGCAGAATGTGGTTTTACATTGTCTTGCTGAAATAATCAAGACTTTCCCTGAAAAAGACGTCATCTGGATGGCAGCATATGTTGCCAAAACATGTATATATCATTCGGCATTAATGGTGCCTTCAGAGATGTGCACGTCACCCATGCCATGTGCACTAATGTCCCCCTGTACCATCATTAATACTGGCTTTTCAATTGTACGCTGGTAACAAGCTGTGGTCTTTAGCCCAGAGGACACAGCGTTCATGATTTCTAAAAAAAAAATTCAAACATTGATTCATCAGACCACAGGACACTTTTCCACTTCCCCTCAGTCCATTTTAAATGAACTTGGGCCCAGAGAAGGTGGCAGCATTTCTGGATACTGTTTATATGTGATTTCTTCTTTGTGTTTTAGAGTTTTAACTTGCATTTGTGGATGCAGTGATGAGCTGTGTTCAGAGACAGTGGTTTTCAGAAGTGTTCCTGAGCTCATTCAGTGATTTTCACTACAGAATCATGTCTGTTTTTAATGCAGTGCCATCTGACGGCCCAAAGATCGTGGCCAGCAAATACTGTTTTTGGCCTTGTCCCTTGCATACAGACATTTCTCCAGAGTCTCTGAAATTTTTTATGATATTATGTACTGTAGATGATGAAAAGCAAAAGTTCTTTGCTATTCTACATTGAGAAATGTTATTCTTGAATTGTTGCACTATTTGCCCGTGCAGTCTTTCACAGAGTGGTGAACTCTTTCTCATCTTTACTTCTGAAAGACTGAGCTTCTCTAAGATGTTCTTTTTATACCCAATCATGTTACTGATCTGTTTCCAATTAACCACCAGGTGTTTTTTTAAGCATTCCAACAACTACCAGCCTTTTGTTGCCCCTGTCCCAACTTTTTTGGAATGTGTTGTTGGCATCAAATTCAAAATGGGCAAATATTTTTTTTCAAAAAACAATAAAATTTCTCAGTTTCAATATTTGATATCCTGTCCTTATACTATTTTCAATGAAATATAGGGTTTAAATGATCTGTGCATCATTGAATTTTGTTTTTATTTACATTTTGCACAGCACCCCAACTTTTTTGGAAATAGGGTTGTATATAGAGCGTGTGCAGCTCACCACAGGCATGTTTGCCTACTGAAGATGACATAAATTGAAATCAAACAGCTGATATGTGCAAAGATGAGGGAAAACAACAGAGCAAGCTTAAAATCCTAAACCTAATTGTCACAGGCTAAAGCATACTGGCACAGCAGGATGACTCAAAGTCAAGTTCAGAGTTCAGATTAGACAGTAGGCAAGAGCTCAGATTAGACAGCAGGCACGAAAAACTATTGCGATTCACTTCTGTCTGACCTTTGATAACTTGATGCACTGAGGTGACATTAGATATTTACTCTGACATTTTCACAAAACCCAAAGCAGAGAAAGAAGGCAAACCTTGGCAGAGACCGTAATAATTTGATTGGTCATAGTACAATGACAGTACTCACAAACAACAAAGTTTGTGAGTACTGTCATTGTACCAAGGCCTACCTGTGGCTATGCCTCTGAACTAGAAGTAGTTTTTCCAATGTGTAATCAAGTTTACATTAGCATGGTGGCAAACACAGTCCAGCTCAGTAGCATAGCACTTTACACTGGTAACTCAACGTTATGTAGCCACCACTGTGAATGTGAGTTGTGGTCTACAATTTCTCACTAGGTTGAAAGGAACTTTTGCGAATGTTTGTAAAGCTTGCAATGGCTGCAGTAAAATAAACAGTATGGACGGAGAACAGATAGGTCAATTACAGGGACAGACCAGAGCCTTAGCTTATCTTACCAAAAGCTTTCTATGCTTCTACAGCAAACAGGTTTTCTGTAATATAATGCTAGCATTACTGCTACTGAGTGCTGATTGGCTGAGTGAAGCTGTTCACTCCCACTACTTGAAGTACTCTTAGAAAGTCCTGTAACTGGAATTCAAAGACATTTAAAAATATAGCAGCTGTGTTAAAATATTGTGCTATTTTGTGTTCAGAAAATTAGTGCACATTTCCATATAAGAGCATTTACAAACTGTGATTTTGCACAAAAGCCCCATGGGAACCAATTTATTTGGTCTCACTCGGGAACACACTCTAGCATCTGACAAACCTAGAACACATTATCAGTTCTCCTCTCAACACATTCTCTGGACAGACCCTTGAAGAGTTTGTCATTAGGTGTCTTGGTCAATGATACAATAGCATTATCCACCTGGGGATGGAACCTAAAAACTGTGTAGCAATAACCTAGCTGACATCCTGATTGGCTTTTGTTGCAGTGCTGTGGGGAGAGTTCTGATGCTTTTATGTCATGGTGGATATTAACCTCTCTCTCTCTCTCTCTCTCTCTCTCTCTAAAGCTGCTCAGAGCAAAACAACGACCTGAAAGGTAATCTCTTTTTTCGAAATGATTAAATATGGGAAAATATCATATTCATTACTAGTTACCAAAATTCCTTGCTGAAACCAAAACCAAAATCTTTTTTGGTATTTTTTTGCCAATTAATTTATGCTTTTGAATAAACACACAAAATATAAAAGCTACAAAGTAATGAAAATACTCTTTTATTAATGAAGGAATCTGTGTTCAAAATAATCTAACTAATCTCAAAATAATCCTGCTAAATTTACAGTGTGTAGGCTACAGAATGTGCATATGAAAGTTCAATGGTTGGTCACTCAGGGCTAGCAGAGACTTAAGTTTTACTGTATTCTATCAAGCAGGATCTCATATTTTCAAGGGGTATTAAACCTGTAGTGAGTGCTGTGCCTTATCTTGATACTGAACAGCGCAGGAGAGTAAAAAGAACAGTGATTATTTAAGTTTTTTCTTATTTTTATTATCATTCAAATAAATGGTTAAGTGGTACATTTTGTCACTTTATTGTGTCCTACTAAATATTTTGGATTTGGATTAGATTTTTTTTCTCTTTCGGCCTAAAATTGTAAGTGCCGTTTTTTTGGCCGTTTTCGGCCAAAGTGTTTCAGTGGCTGATATTTCAAATTTCAGTGCATCCCTATTACATACAGCACTTGGTTTGGCTTTGTAGATTAAATCACCTGCTTGAAGTAGTGTTCTAAACCAACTGCTGTGCTTTGAGGCTTGTTGTGGGTTAAACACCCCTTGTTTGTGTTGGTTGTTTTGAAATGTATTGCAGGTTACGTGTGCATACAGTGTACATACAGTGGAAAAATGTGAAATGCAATGCACACATGACATGACTTTTCCATAGTTACATGCAGAATACATGCCAAAATGAAAAACAAATCCTCTATTAGATTGCTTTCACATCACTTGACTTCTTAACTGAAAATCAGTGCAAGATGATTTGCATTTAAAAACAAAAGATGAATTCATGTCAGAATTAAATACAATCTGCCTTGAAATGTAATAATAGCACAACTTTATTGCGTTCCACTGTGAAGTACTAAAATGGATTTTTTACTATTCGTTTTTGGAATGTTTTCCGCATGTTATTGTTTACATGCAATCTTGTGTGCATTGCATTTCACTGTTTTGGTTGCACTTCAATGAAGCAAATACATTTGAAGTACCAAAAAGAAGTCACACAATGTGAAAAACTGTAGTAGAGGTTTGCCGCATGGCACCTGTGGAATAGTAATGTCATGTGTGCATTGCTTTTCACTGTTTTTACTGTTATGAAGGCATTTTAATGAGGTAAATCTGTTGAAAGTACTGCACTGTGGCAGCCGTGCCTTCGTTACATTTCGAGGTGGATTGTATTAAATCCTGACACCAATGCAGCATTGTGCTGAGTAGCAGCACGCTGAGTAAAGGGGAGAGGTGAGGTCATCGTACCCACCCAGAGAGCAAGGCCAATTGTGCTCTTCTGGACTCCCGGCCACAGATAGCTGTAGCATCACCAGACATCGAACTCGCGATCTCTTGATGATAGGGCTAATGCTTAGGAAAAATTATGTAATGTTTGCATTATATTTCAGATTTTTCCACTGTAGTGATTTTCAATTTGACGCAAATTCCTTTTCCACAGCTGATGGTAGTTTTATGGTAAGCTCAGTACTGTGGTTTGAGCTGTTGGTTAAGTGTGTGATGTTTTTCCGCCAGTATAGATTCAGCGAAACGGCAGCACCACGAATGGCCGCAAGTTAAACGAGATGCCAACCAGGGCAGCTACACAGGCCACAGCAAACCAATGGAGGTACACATGCACCACACATAAGGATTGGAGTAGGACTGCATGCATAACATGAACTAAATACAAGTATTACAATTACCTTGCTACCAGTTGAGATTGCATTACCTCATTCAATTATATTAAAATAAATACAACATTCATAGGCCACTACGTATCAACTTATTTTACTTCAGGCACAAGCTTGGTCCAATATGTTAGAATATGCTAACCTGAGGATTACAATCTGACGAAAGGAAAATTTTAGCTACAGAACATGCTTGTGCTAACATATCTGATGTTTGTGACTTTTGAATAGCACAGTTAGCTAAAGTAAAGTAAGTTTTAAGAATTAAAGAATGCAAATGGTGTTAATGAACTATAAAATATGTTGTGTGAATCTGGTAGCTTGCTGGTCAAGCACTCTACTGTCCTTGTTAGCACTAGGTGCTAGCAAGTAGCTTAGCTATCAGGCTAACAAGCTAACTTTCATTGAAAGCTTTAGAGCGTAACGATTAAAATCTGAGTGACTCAAAGCGAAGTCGAATGACTGGTGCTGCAGTATTAGAAATACTAACTTGTACTGTGACGTGTTGAGCTGTTAGCCTGCTAGCTACACTACACTGTAAAAAAAAAATGGTTCTTCAAGGGTTCTTTAGTAAAGGGACTCATGGCTGTAAATAGAACCTTTCCCTTTACATTACAACCAGCTGCACTGTACTGTCCTTTTTAGCACTGTTTAACATTTATCAATTGTAGTTAGATTTGTGGTTTAACACGTATGTTGAAAATGTCCCGTGTTTTCTCTGGTTAATAATGTCACAACAGGAGCTTATTTCCGTTTTTTTTTTTCTTATCTGCTCAATCAATTCAAACAGAAGCTGTTTTGCTTCCTGCCCATTCACCAAAAGTAAAAGCACCAGATGTAGTAGGAAGGAAGGGTGGAGTTTTCTTATGTTCGTATCTTCATATATTTTTCAGTAACATAGGCATACAAGTAATACATGAAATATGAACAATTTATTATTCAACATAGATTATTTCTCATGGATTAAACTGCATGTTTTACATGTACTTCAACAAACAATGTATTGTGCAGCCCTTGCTTGGAGTCAAACCCTTTTTATTTATGTGATGTTCATGTTTCCCTTTTACAAGAAAACAAAAGGAATGAATAAAAACAGTCACTGGTAATTACAATACAAAAAGTTAAACCAATCAACCTATGGGGCGGATAATGAACAATAACAAAAGATGACCTGCATTTCTGTTAAGGAACTGATGAGAAGCTGCTGTTCTTGCCTGTGTTTTATTTCAGGGCTCTTCTGAGGAGGACTGGTACGTAGGAGCCTTCAGTAGAGTAGAGGCAGAACATGCACTTCATCTGGTGAACCGGGTAAAGATCCACACTCACATAAACACCCACTTGATGATGCACAATTTGTTTTAGTCATCCTCATCAATGGTCAGTTTCTGACCACCGATCTGCTGTTGGCTGGATATTTTAGTAGGCACTTTATTTGGCTATCCCACTAGATGCTTTGTAGGTGCTTATCTAGCTCTTAACTTACATTCAACTAAATATCTATTCAATTCACCTTAATTTTCCTAGACTCTAACCCTGGCCCCAATCCTAACCCTATCCTCAACCGAAAACCTAAACCTTACCCTGGTACTAATACTAACCCTAATACTAACGGTGTTGGGAATTCCATTTGAACATCTACAGCAGGGGTGTCCAGTCTTATCTGCAAAGGGCCGGTGTGGCTACACGTTTTCACTCCAAACAAGCTGGATTTCACCTGACTCCACTTGTTTAATCAGCTGGTCACAGTTTTCAAACATTTCATCTGGTGACCTCCTGCTTTGTTGGAGTGCCACCACACTGGCCCTTTGTGGATAAGACCGGACACCCCTGCTGTAGATGTTCAAATGGAATTCCCAACAGCGTTAGCATTGGGGTTAGTATTAGTAAGGCAACAGAGAGACTACAGTCTTACAAAGTGCACCTATGAGGTAGATGTTTCTGATAAAATGGCCATTGAGTTGGGGTTCCAGGTAGGAGTAACTTGGTGTGTATGAATGATTCCACTGAATTGGTTCAAAGTCAGAGTTGAAAACACACTTCTGATTTTTAACTAACTTGGTCTTCAGATTAAAATCTTTTTACTTTGAGTGACAATATAACTTAATTACGTTTATTTTAATAAAAAAAATGAACATTCCATTTTGTCACTACCAAAACAATCATAACACTATTGAAACTTTACCAAAAGTTTCAATAGTGACTCATTTTGAGCATAACTTAAAAATGCTAGCTGGTACACGACAAGCAAACACAGCTTTGAATAGTTGTAATTGCAGAAAATACGTGTTTCGGTAGTGACAATTCTTAAGCTTTACTTCAAAACAATTGGATCTAACTGCTCACCATGTGGCTATGAGAGACAGGGATGCAGTCATAATTCCTGCTCTAAAATGCAGGGGTGTAGGTAAAATAAGTCTCCACCTATGGGCTAAAACTCTTTGTGTTTTGGTATTGAACACAAAACTGAAACCCATGAAAACTGAAACACAAAACCAATGAAAATATAGGACAGCATTTTTTTAATTAGGGTTATCATGATAAATCTAAATCTTTCAACTTCATTTTAAAAGAAATCAAAAAAGATCTTAACAAAAAACAACATATAAAAAATGTATTATTTTCACAAGTTGAAATTTAGAGATTGCAATTTGGGACAGTCACCTCTCAATAGAAAGCACCCTACATGTACCAGCAAAGAACTTACTTAGCACTGCACTAGTACAACAGGGTTTTGCACCAATCCTGAGAGCTACTTAACCAAGATTTTGGAAAAACAGAAAGCTTTTTAAACTGATCTTCCCTGGTCAATTTCTTCACGACTTTGTGTGGTTGATTTGTGGTCATATAATCATGAATATGCAGCTACACATTTCATTTCGAGAGACAGCTGAAAACATAATAATAAACACAACAAACTATTTAATGGACTTCTGGACATTTTATGTCCCTCTAAAGCTTCTAATTTGGATAATTAGTTACCTTCCTTGCTAATTAGCTACTTATTTGCCGATATAAAATGGTACACCACACTGTTCTGTGCAGTCACGCAAATGTTTACATGTACACATGATCATATGTAGAATCAAGCAAAGCTTGACATTTTCTCAATTAAGTGTGAAAATATGAGCAAACACGCTTGTTCTTTGGCCAATAGCATAAATGCTAACAGCGTTAACTTATTATAGCTTATGTCAGATTTTCTACAAAGTAATTATTCTTACAATAGCAATCAACACATCACCATCCCAATTTAAGTTCTCATGCACTTATTGGTCATGTAATAGCGCTTCATCTTCACCTGGAACAGTGAGTGTTTGCTAATTTGCCATTAGCTTCAGTAACCAAAGACAGAGGATTGATTCCTCAGGGGAATTAATACTTACAGCATCTTGACCTGCCTTTGAAAGCTGGGATACCTCATTCATTCTATGTAAAGATCAGAAGAAAAAGAACAGCTCAAACAGTTTGCTGTTGAACTGTCACTGCCGGATCATTACACACTAGCTCATGCTGAGCCTGACAGGTCATGCCATGGATTTGTATAAAATCATCCAAGCAAAAAATTAGTTTCAATTCAAGCAGTTACGCTCAATATTTGAAGGAGTTTTCACACTTGGTCAGTTTCAGCGTTTCAAGTGGTCTCAGACCGCTGAGTCTGGGTTTTCATGTGCAAGGGAACCTGATAAATGATATCACACCCCTCTAAGGGTGTTTTCACATACAGTTCTTTTTAAATGAAACAAAGTCAGTTCTGTGAAAGTGAACCTGAAAGAAAATCAGCTGCTGACTTTGGAGTTCACTATGGTAGGAAACTCATTTCTCTTTCTGGTGTGTTTTGGCACTGATGGGATCTCAGGCCACTTGTTTACATCACAACTCCTTCAGAACTCAGACCCTGCCTGGGTAACACTGAATGATGGGTAGTGTTGTTCAGATAACAGAAGTGATTGGCTGAGCCACATCTGAGCCCATAGTAACATACTCCAATAGTGCCAAGCTATTAAAAACTGTAAAAACTGAAAAAACAATAAAAAAGTATTCAAACCATAGATATTTACAAGTAATAAAGTATAATTATAAGTATATATAATTATAGTTGAAATTTATGGATTGGGACAGCCACCTTACAATATAAAATACCTTATAAGTGATGATTTTGTATATATTTAGCTTATTACTGTGTAAATTAATAAGCTAAATATATACAAAATCATCATTTATAAGGTACATTCTATTGGGAGGTGACTGTCCCAAACTCTAAATTTTAGCTATACTTTTTTGTGTTTTTTGTCTATTTTAAATTGAAGTTCAAAGATTTAGATTTACGTGAATTTAAATAAACAAGCTTTATTCAAAATTTGTTGTCCCATGTTTTCATGTCACTACAGAAACACAAAGATTTTTAGTCCATTATTTTAGCCACACCCTTGTATTTTAGGGCAGGTAGTGAGACTGCATCCCTGTCCCTCATGGCCACATGGTGAGCAGTCTCATTGTTTTGAAGTAAATGTGTCTGAAAGTCTGAATATCAGTGTGTAACATTAAGAATTGTCACTACCGAAAAACATATTTTCTTTAATTAAATCATTTTTTTGTGTTTTCATGAAAAATATTATTATTTTATGTGTGTACATCTGTTTAAAGCTGCGTTTGTAGACATGTGCTGGCTAGCGTTTTTGAGTTATGCTCAAATTTGGTAAAGTTTCAGTAGTGTTATGATTGTATCAGTGATGACCAAATGGAATGTTCAATCATTTCTTTTTAATAAAATAAACATAATTAAGGCATAAAGTTACTCAAAGCAAACAGATTTTAGTCTAAAAACCAAGTCAATTAAAAGTCCAAAATGTTTTTTGAACACTGACTTTGAACCAATTCGGTAGAAAAAGTGCTCACAGCCAAGAGGTTCTTTAACCATAAAGCAAAACACAAAGCATACTTGGGCCATTTTGGTTTCATTTTTTATTTAATTGCCCTGTACAGGTTTTCTGTGCAATAAAAATAAAGTTGTATGCATCTATCTATCTATCTATCATGCAAAAATCAATAGGACCATGAAATGAACTACAAAAAAAAAAAACATACTGTGAGCACACTGATGTTAGTTTTTGAGACTATTTATAGCTGTTTGATGTGTCACATATGCACAGAAAACCATGACCATTGAAATGCTTAAATTCAAAAGTGTGAAAACGCCTTACGAACCCAGAACAAAACCAAACTCTGACTTCTTCTTGAACTTCACACACGAATACAGAATTCAACATGTGCAGTCGCTAATCTGTGTGTTTCCCTTGTTGTGCCCTGTGCCCTCTGTCTCATCTGCTGCTGTGTCTTTACTGACAGGAAGGAGCTTTTCTAGTGCGTGACTGTTCCAGGAACACTACCAATGAGCCCTTTGTCCTGGCCGTCTTCTATGAAAACAGAGTCTTCAACATCCAGATCCGCTTCTGCAAGGAGACCTCTAAATACACACTGGGAACCAGGATCAAGACCAACGATGTGAGTTAGCGACACATGAAACTGCCCTCTTACTCAGTGAGCAGGAATATATTCTTTATTCATAACAGAAAAACAGGACAGTATTGCTGTCAGCAGTCATTAAGTAAGAGCTTGATGGTCTATGTAAACATTTTTAGCTTCATTTACCATTCACACCCCAGTCCACAGCTACAAATTAAGCTGCAAGAACAGAATTCATGGTTGTGATGTCATGCCCATCAACACATTTACATATTCAGCCTACAGTTGTTTAGCCTGGCCATTCACATTGCAGTGATATGGAGTGTTGTTACTGCAAACAGCTTGTAGAGAGTTATCCACACGACTAAACGTTGTGCTGTTCCTGACTGTCAGGAAGTGAATGTATCAAGCAGGACCAACAGATCCGAAAAGAGTGTCTGAAGTTTACTTTTTCTCATGTCCCTGAGGATTTCAGTCTGAAAACATTTCAGCCCAAATTACTTTTTGTTGGAGGCCAAATACAGGCAAGGTTGGAAAACGGTCATGTAGAACTTCACTGTTTGGTACTTAAAAGTACATAGTAGTACACAAATGTCGAAATCTGCCTCATTAAACACCACAAAAATGTTTAATATTGGCTGGTTTGTGCAGGCTATTCTGGTGAGTTTGCCAGTATTCCGATGTCTTTTGTTGATTGTGCAGGAGTGTTAGCTTGCATTTAGCATAGCAAATTTCCTATTTTTACTGCTTAGACGCACACTCTGACCAAAATGAAAAATGTAACCATCTTTACATCCACTGTAAAATAGCTTACTCATGTCCTACATTGGTGCAGTAGTAGTCACTAGATTTAGACTTTGTTTTAAAGACTAGGAAAACCCACCCCTGCTGATAATGTGTATTGAAGGTGGGAGGAATTTACAGTAGGAGAGAAAAACTATAAGCATTTCGGGGTGGATTTTTAGATTCAGGCTTTTTCTGTCCTCTAGCTGGCTAGTGCAGGATTAAGCCAAATTAAGAAAATTGAATGGTGAGCTGCGAAATCCAAAGAGCTGAGAGACACAATGCTGTGCTAGAGAATAGAGGAGAGCGATATGGCAAAAATATAATATTGTAGTACTTGAAGAACTTTTCACAATATATGACATGGTAATATTTATTTTTCAAACATCTGATCAGAGAAAAAAAGAACCAGTAGTGCTATATTTAAAAAAAATACTATCAAAAATTGTGAATGATTTTTGTTCATCATTTGGCATACTGGGTTACACCAAATCCAGTTAAACGTGAAAAATTTTCTCCTCTTTATAATGAAACAAGCAGTTGGTCAATATATATATATATATATATATATATATATATATATATATATATATATATATATATATATATATACATATATATATACATATATACATATACACACACACACATACATATACACACACACACATACACATACACACACACACATACACATACACATATATATATATATATATATATATATATATATATATATATATATATATATATATATAGCCCAACCTTATTAGAGAACATTGCACTACATGACAAATAACTTTGGCCACAGTGCCCCTTTAACAACCATGACACAGTGGCATTCAGGTAAAAATGTGTGTAGCACAAAATATATTGGCTTTAGAGTTTGTTGATTAACAACAGAATGTAAAAGGAGTGATTTTTAAAAGCAACATTTATTTTAGCCACAGAGAAAAACAGCTTTGACCCAGAGCTTGTCCAGATGCTAATGGTGAACTGCAAAATGACAGCACATCCGCAGAGGAGCACTGCTGTAAACCAGTATAAATAGCACAAAATGAGTGTTGATGTAATGTTTTAAAACTCTTGTCTTCCAGACTTTTGACTCTGTGGCGGACATCATTAAATTCCACTCTATCTTCCCTATCGTTCTCATCGACGGACGGAACCCCTCAGCAACCTCCCACCCAAAGAGACACTGCGTCCTTATGTACCCAATCACAGTACAGGACATGAATCAACTGCTGCACATCTCCACAACCGGATAAAATAAACACAATACTATACACCTTCCTCTGTGCTGACAGAAGGCCCACAGAACAAAGAAGAACTTAAAAAGTTATTTTATTGAGTCAAAACATTACACAAATACACTGATGTTTTTTAAACACAAAGCAATGTATTTACAAACAAATTCCCATTAAAGTATTTTAAGTCAAACTCATAACTTCTTAGTCAGCCTGGGTCTCTGATTTCCTCATTTCTCATTTACAGAATGTCAAAGAAAGGATATGATGGTATATTCATGTGGTTCCTTCCTAACTGTGAACTGACCTATTTGTGCTACACCTACAAATATGCTGTTTCATAGCAACTGCTACAGGACTGGACAACCTTCACAGAATGCTGGCAAAAATCCCATTCAACCCAATGAGAAATTGTACAGCACAACTCAATGAGCCTTTGTCAAAACATGCAAATTCAGAGCATTTTTAATTTTAAATAATATTATTTCATATGCATGTTGTAGGGTTACTATTAGAACAGAGCGCATGTAGTCTTTGTTTTTGTTGTGTAATCAAGCTATTGTTAGCATGATAGGAAATTCTTTGCATTTACAGCCTGCCTAGTGTTGATTCTCATCAAAACAAAAACCTAGTTACTTAGCAACTCTAAATAAACAATATAGCAGTCCAATCTGAATAATTTACATGTTTTGAGTTGCATGCTACAATTTCTTATTACATGAAATGGTATTTTTGCTGCCCAAGGTGAACCAAAGTTGGCTCACCAGACGGTTGCCCTAAGTTGCCCTAAGATGTGCATCGTTGTTGTTTCTAAGATATATTTTTAAATACTTTTCATGACCAGTGTTCAAATTTTCAAAAATCTAGGACACCAATATTAGTCACTAACCACAATGCAAATAGAACAACTCATTAGTAAGTAACAGCTACAGGATTGCTTTATTCCAGTGGGGAAGATTCCAAATGGTGATTTTAATGTATTTGCGTAAAGCATGCTGGGTATTGTAGTGCGAGAACCCCTGGGACAGAAGCTTTGGGCACCTCTGCTTTAAAACCTGTCCAAACAGTTGCTAATAATGAACACATTTGTAGATGGAGCATGGATATAACAATTTGGTCAACATTTCTTGCCACATCGTACAGCTATAGGATTAAGAATTAGCAGTCAGGTGACCTTCATCAAAAGAAAGACAGACAGGAACATTGCTGCCCCTAGACTTACTTTACAAAAAGGGATTCTGTTAAATTGTGGATATGAAATGCTCCTTTTAAGGCACTCAAAGAACCAAACAACAATTCAGTAATGAAACCACAGTCTGAATTCAACCCTTAGAACCTTCATCTCCTCTCAATTATGTACAATTAGGGCTTTGAGGTACAAAATGTCCAATAAAGAACACGAATATCAAAAGTTCTGTGCCAGTTGTCACAGTATATACATTTGTACAGGAATCAGTGATGGAGCAAATGTATGACTGAATAGAACACTGCATTGCCCTTAAATATGTATGTGCTGGGCACAACATGGGAATGTGAAACCAACATGGACATAGAAAAGAAAAATTGCTTAGATGTGCCTTAGGTTTGGTTTTTTCCATCCCAAACATACAATAGAATTTCCACTATGATAATACCTACCACTAAAGATTTTTTTTCAGACGTTGCTCTATTAATTTTGTGTTCGTTTACATTGCTCCTCTGCCTTCATGGTCAAAACAAAATGGTAGAAAACCATGGTCATAAACAAAAATGCACAGGGTTTCTAATTCATTTCAATACCAATATTCACTTCTGCTATGTTCTACTAGGGGAGGGCAAGATGACATCACGTTTAGGGTTGGGTATCATACTGAAATACTCGATACCGATATAAACACCAACACCTATACTACTATACAGATTTCTGAAAGAAATTTCATTTAAATAACAAAGCAGAAGTGGGTGTGGCTTAAACAAGAAATATGTGCTGGTTGTTTACTGACAATAACGGATTAGTCTGCAAATCAAGTAGTGCCAATGTTAATAACATGCATACAGATAAAGATTTCTGAACGAGCATGTTTACTGGCTCACTGACTACTATTGAAATAGATACTAAAATTTGTGAATTAATTTGCTCAGTACCAATTCACTGAATTTCGATACCTAGCACTAATCACCATACTTGGTTTTCATGATACAAGATGTGCATCATATTTTATTTTGTTTTTCTGAGGTTTTATAAGTTGGAACATGCAACAATTGTGCCCTCTTTGTAATGAAATGTAGTTGTTCTATATTCTTCAAGCACTGGCAATAATCATGATATGCCCTGAAAAGCACATTGTGACTAATGTGATGTTATTTATCCCAATAATGATATCATCACACTGCCCAAGCCTACATTCAACAGCCACCTACTCTCAAGAAAGGAATAAAAGAGTCTAAGAAAACAAAGCTGTTCTGAAAGAACAAGCAGCCCAAACTTTTACTGTTATACATACTTGCTGGTGCTTCCACTGTTTTGCAGCCCTCCTGCATCTCTCCTATACTTTCTCTATAGCCATATTCTCATATACAGAACACTGGAGTAAGAATTTGTCATGCAGACCATCCTGCAAACAAAAGCTTTCACATCCAACTGATGGTCCCACTGACATTGATGTTGGCACATTTTACAAAAACAGGGCTGATAACACTCATACCTTTGACCCAATGAACAACTAAAATAGTGACACCATTTTAAAATACATATCATACATGGCACTCGTTCAACAAGATGAGGTAGGCCACCAAACAAAGGGTCATCAAAGAGTTTGCAAATGTAGTGACACTGACATTGTAGAAATACTCTGTAGTGGAATGTCTAAAGTAGTAGTTGAATACCACAATAAGCTGACTGAAAACTTTCAGTTACCAGTCCTTGTGTACACTTGCAAAACTTTAAAACAAACATTTTTATATAAAAAGACTGGAGGGGGAACTGTACCGCAGGTTATGTACACATATATACAAAGTTGAAAGTTGACAGTCACTCCAGTAAGCAGTCCCGTCTAGGGTTTTTGTCCTTTAAGCAGCGTTTGACAGTAATAACAGTATGCGCTATAGTAGTGCACTGAAAGGTCATAAAAGACATCAAGTGGACAGGAAATACTGTAAAAACAAAGTTGTTTACAAACTTTTTCACAGGATCATTTTTTCTGAGACGCCCTTAAGAACAAGTTCAGTGACCTCATATTTCCGACCCTGGACTTTCTTCAGTTTCATTTTGAATGAGGGACACTGCGTCACAAGTTCAGCAGGAGTGGCTTCTTCAGTCTGGGTATGGGGGCTATGGGATGGAGAAACCAACTCATAATTCTTTTGAGTCTGAACATCTTGACTGACCATCTGGAGTAGGGAGTTTGGAAGGTTAAGAACCACCACGGGTTGGTTTGGTGCTGGAAGTTTGACAAGCTGATCTTCTTTTAACGGGGTTAACCACAGTTTTCCTATTTTACCTTTCACCAAGATCTCATTGAGACCCAACATGACCTTAGAGGATTTATGTTTCTTAGCGCTTTTCTTTTCTTTTTTATGTTTTTTGTATGGAGATTGTACAGCAAACTGTGCCAATACTGGCTGTGGTACTTGACCTGAATCCCTGTTTTCACTTTCAGAGCGTTTCCTCTTTAAAACTAGCTTAATGGCTCTCTCTTGCACATTTTGCTGGTTTGACGTACAGCAAAGAACAGGTCTGGCTGTTATGCTTTCTTCTCCAGTTGCTCTCTTTGAAACCTTCTTTGCAGATTCTACAAGTGAATAGAAATCCAAACTTGGAATCCTGGCCAAAGCTACTGTAGGATTCATTGGCAAAGCAGGGTGACCTTCCCTCTGCACAAGTACATTGCTCTCTGACATGGATGCTTGCTCCCTTTCCTCACGTTGTGGGGAAAAGTCGTTAATGTTCAATGGTGAAACATTCATCTCCAGTGATTGATCTGCATCTGTCTGTGGAGTATCTGTTGAAGAACTACACATTTCTGGCATAATTTTGTCCTTCGGATCATCTGGAAATTTTGGGGGACTCTTCTCAGCATTGTCTCTCTTTTCAGGTACTACGGCATCTAGTACTTTGGTGTCTTCTAAAAGACAGTCCTTCTCTTTCAGTTTCAGGCTAGATTTTGGATTGTTTTCAGTCATTAAGCCAGTTTCTTCCTCTGTTTTCAAGTCAGTTTTACATACTGTTGAATCATTTGCCACAGTTTTTTTTGACTCTGAACCTGATGATGTCTGGACCCCCACTACATGTTCATCTAAAATCCCTACTCTGGTGTGGATGCCATTCAAAGTTGCTTCAGGACTAGGGCACAGTGAAAAAACTGATGAAATCACAGGAAGGCCTTGATAACTAGATTCCACATCCTCATGTTTGTTTAGTGAGACTCGAGTAGCACGGTGTTCATTCACAGGACCTTCAACTGTACCATTCACACTGTTTGCACTTTGGGATGTGGCACTTCCTCTGCAATGCATCTGGCGCACTGGAGTAACTGGTTCTGTAGCTTTTGCAACATTTTTGCGTCCAGTAGATGGTTGATGTGATTCTAAAGGCCTAGCCACTGCCCTTGGTACATTATAGAACCCTCCACTTAAAGATCCTGGAGTCTCTGTAACACTGATCTTGGACCATAGCACTTTTACCTCAGGTTCATCTTTCACACCAACTTTGACATCCGTAGAATGCTCCTTTAGATGGGATCCTTTGACCGGAGGCTCAGGAATGGCATTTGTCTGTAAGCTGCTGGTGCCATGGATCAGTCTCGTTGGTCCATTATCACCTGGGGCAACCTTACATTTAAAGGACAGTCTGTTTGCTGTACTATCTGGAGTGGTGCTCCTTGAACTTACCAGTTGAGGTCCAGTGGGCTGCTGTGGGACTAGCCGAAGCTCCAATTCTCGAGTCCCATTGACATTTTTCACCTCCACCAGCTCAACAAGGCAGCCAGCAGGGATGGTAATCTCTTCAGGACATGACACTGTCAAAGGTCTGTTGTGTTCAATCGGCTGGTTTAAAGGTGCTAGCAATTCCACTTGGACACTGGACTGTGTACTTGGTTCAAGCTTCTCTGCAGGTCGCTTCGCAAGGATGTTGGGACGTGTTTTTCGTCGATTAGTCTTATCTGCACACTGAGTGCGAAGTGTGATGGACGGTGCTCCTTGTCCAAACCGCTCGACTGGTGAGCTGGGATGTGCCCCCGATGGAAGAGACCTTTGTACAGCATGTGCCACTGGCAAGTTGCGTATAACTCCCGTATGAACCGGCCTCTGTGCAGGCAAAGTTGTCGGCACATTTTGGGCTTCCACAGCCCTTTGACCAAACGATTCCAATGGGTTGCTGAGAAGTGTCTTAAGGTGGGTGTTGGTTCCAACAGTGAAAGCAATCTGATTTTTAGAAACTGATTTTGACTGACTGACTGTCTTCTCTGTAACTGCTGCCTCTTGGGTCTGAAGCAGTGGATTTTGCTGAATGGTATGATCTGAAGAGATACAAACAACTTGACTATTTGAAACTGTTCTTGACTGAATGACAGTCTTCTCAGTAGTAGCTCCCACTTGACTCTGAAGCAGTGTTTTTTGTGGAATTGCACGATCTGCAGGGATACTAACGTGAACTCTGGGAAGTGCACTTGGAGAACTGGCCTTTCCCAAGGATGTTTTTCCAGGAAGTCTATGATCTACTTCATTCACTGTAATATTTGGTGGATTGCTGACACTTTGTGTAACTTTACTTACAAGGTGACTTGTGCTGGGCAAACTGTGAGGTGTATTGACAGTCTTAGAAACAGGAAGGATGCATGTTGTGCTGGTAACTGACTGAGCTGCTGTGCTGCAGATCAGATGGGTCTGGTTACTGGTTGTTTGGTGCACAGGTCTGACAACAAGATACGGTGCACTGGGTCTAGGCTGACTTACACTGGGGAGTAGACTGAACACATTCCCAGCCGAATGACTCACAAACTTTACGTTTTGTATAGGTTCACCTGATGTTCTTGAAATGTCAGGGCACAGATCAGTAATTTGTTGTTGAGATAGATGTTCAATTTTTGCATTGGGTATAGTACAGTCAGTGGTAAAACTTCCATCCGCAGGTTTCCCATGTATTCTCTGAATGTGCTTTACCATGTAGTCCCTCCTGACTGCTCCATAGGAGCACCAGTTACACTTATATGGATATGATCCTTTGTGTGTGACAATGTGCCGTTGGGACTCAACTCTGGAGTACGAGACATGGCTGCACAGGGTACAAGAGAAGGTCACCTCCTCATGATGAGCCACATGCCTTTCAAACAGTTCAATGTCCTTGGTTGAGAAGCGGCATTTCTCACAACAGAGACGCCTACTGGGCGCTTCTTTGGTCTTATTTTCCACAAACCAGATGAAGTTTTGCTGCAGTCCTGTTGACTTCATATTTAAGACAAATCCAAGAGCCAAAATGTCTTTGCTGATTAAATACTGTCATTACTCATTGGTATCCAACGTTGGTTCAATAGGCTATACGATGGTCCACATGTGGAAGTGGCAAGTTGCAATCAGCGATACACACCTCCGGTCAACCTAACCAAAAAAGAACAAAAATGATAAGATTGTGATCATTTTAACTGAACAAACAAATATAGTTTTGTCAAATTGATCTTATACTAAGCTGAAGAAATTTTAATTTGTATTTTAAATGTATATTGAATTAAATGGAAAGAAACACATCCACAAGTGTTTAGATGCCAATTACAAAATGACTGCAACAAATTACTATTTAAATAGTAGATTAATCTTTTCATTGTTCATTACTGCTTTGATTAAGTGGAGAAGACAAGCAAATGACACTCCTCTGAATATCATCATAGTCATAATATTTTACCTTGGACACTTGGTCTCAACAGAATCTACCATTTTAGTAGCTTTTCAGCAACTTAACTGCCATGTCCTAGATGAGCCGACATGAATACTTCAAATACTATTTCAAATATGAATATTATTGGAGAAGTCTGTTAGCCACCTGCCAGGCTTGTTATTAAACGAAACCCTTAATCTAAGGGTATTATGTAGCATGATTTTGAGCCTTTGACTTCTTATACACAAAATCTGTGAGGGCAAACTTATGTCCATTCGTTGTAGAAACATGCTAGGACCCATCTGACATTTCTATATGCTATAAGAACCACTTTAGTAGGGCATGCTTGGGCAGTACAATGGTAATATGGTACACCATGATGCAAAAGTAATAACAGTCAAATTAGCTTTGTATAAATGCTAAAATGTCAGCTGAATCCAAATAACAAAAACTTCAAAGCAAAGCTCTAATACATTGGAAAAGTATTTATGCCGCAAGTTCCCTATTGGTAAAATGGTTTACATACCATATTTCCAAATAAGTATGCGTATATATGCGTTGAAATGTCTGATTGTTACTAGTTAATATATTCAGTAGAGCTGGGCCAAACAGCCTTTTACAGGCTGAAGCCCAGCTGCTGACATGACATAGGTTGCTGTGATAGAATCCACAACTGCAACCCTACCATTCAAGTCCAACTTTTATGAGTCACTTGCGTCACATTTATTAGTCACGTATCTAGACTAGAAATGTGCACAGGTATTCAAGTAATCATTTAACCGTTCGAGGCGACTGTATTTGAATGCCATAATCAGTATTCGGATATTCATTACATTTCATCACAGAAAGTCAGACAAAACATACAGGCCAACAATAGTTTTGCTCGTATTTATTATCTGAATTTACGGCAGTTAACTGGATATCCGTTCAGGAACTCAAAGATACTCAAATCTCAAAATTTGTCTGAATGTACATCCCTAACGTAGACACCAAGTTTGAATTAGAATGATCATTTTATTTTATCACCACTACGATTTTAGCTTTTGTTTGCTTTTGTTCGGTCGGCATTTATTCCATCATGGAAAATAGCAGTGAGGACAACATGCAGGCCAAATTGAGCTTTGCCAAACTACAGACAGTAGAGCAGAGGATTGAAGACGTTTTGGAGCAATAGGCCTGTCTGAACATGAAGAGGGGCACCCTGAAGTGGCTAGGCAGGTTCACCACTTGGCTCGTGTGGCCTGTCCTCCTTGACTTTGTGCCAAGCATAGAAGACACAAGCTGCAGGGGAACAAAGTAACTTGGCAAATAGAGTAATCTGGCAAATAGTATTTGTATAATGTATTAATCACATTTTTTCTTACTAAGTTAGACCAGTAGGAGCATTTAAAACGTATATTATTGTTATATCTGCAAGTATCCGCAAATTTAATTTCAAGTAATTTTAAATGTGATTTTGAGAAATCTTTAATGCTGCTTTGAGCCGGTCATTCCATGAACTTTTACCACTCACATTATTACACAGCAGTGTTTAGTACAGAAATCTTCACTTTCTTAGTGGCCCGAACACCACCACAATGATAATGCTATTTACCACTTCTATGGGAATTTCAATGTTGTGTTAGTGTCAAGCTAAAGGTAGTAAAACAGAGTATGTTTACATATACAAAATCATCTGACAACTTTAGAAAATCAGATTTTGGCAGTAATTCATTCAACATTTACCAGCAATTAAGAAATCTGATAATGAGAAAGCTCCAGGCCTGAAGACATCATTCAATACTTGTATTTCTTGTTAAATACACAACTTATGCAGCTCAACCATAGCTCTGCAGCCCACCAAAAACACAAACCGAAGAATAAGCAGTGATATAAAATTCAAACATCTTATTTCAGCTTTCTTTTTAATATGGAGCCGCTAACTGCCAAATATTTGGGAGTTTTATGGTTCAAAATTGCACATAATACTGTCACGTCTTGCCATTTCACATTTATAGTGTTTACTCAAGTCTGTAAAATTCACTGCTTTGCAGGCAGCTCCTCTCTATTTGGTCATGTTTGTTCAGAATCGCAGGTGCTGAAAAACCAAACACATCAGATTAAAAGTACATGAACTGATTATTGAGCTAAAATGAGCTAATCTTTACAGGAACATCAGAAGACCTGAAGGTACATTATCCATTTTTGACAGCAAATAAAATGACTATACTGCGACCCGAGTGCTCATCACCCCCACTGTAAAGAAATCCGAATTGATAAGTTCCTCTACAATGAACCATTTTAAATCAAACCACGCTGAACGACATCTCAATTATCTAATTGACCGTGTGCAAAATTCTCACAAGTCCGTCTTAATTTGTTACTACTGCTACATCCATCTAGTGATGCACGACTCCAGGTTTTCTAGAGTTGACTCTGACTCTTAACCCCAGCTGGTGGAGTCATTTGAGTCAACTCCTCGACTTCTTAATTTTAACCAAGTGAGCATAAGAGTCTGATATAGGGATACAGCAGAGGTTTAACCAACTAAATATAATTTACATAGTAGGTACAGATTATAGTGATATGTTAACTGACAGTTTCTAGATTACATAGTATATACCTAATACAACTGATTACAACCAACTAATGACTGAAAACATCTTACCATCAGACAGACTATTTCACATAATAAGGCTGCTAAAGGGAGCTCGAGCTCAAGCAGGCTAGAGGATGAGGAGAAACGATGTACTAAGAGAATCTTCACTGTAGTCATAATTCATTGAAAATGAAACAAGACTGAAGTTTACTTCTTATTCAACTGGTCTGTTCCACTTTAAATGATGCAGCAGTTGCGCAGGCACTAGAATGTAACAGCAGCGCCATTTACGGTGGAACGGACAATTTGGATAAGAAACACGAATATGACAGCAACTTCAGCTTCACCCTCTTTTCCGCCACATTCTGTGAAAATATTGTTTATTTTGTTTTTTTGTTTTTGTTCCTTGTACTGTTTGTAATCGTTTATTGAAAGCCTAGTCATGAAGAAAATAAGCAGTTTGTTTCTGTGAGCAAGATTAGGGTGCAGAGCAGTGCACTGTAAAGACAGACGCATCGAAAATGTTTCTGCAACCAGAATTTGTGCTTACAGTGGCTGGTGAGCAGTGTCAACATTGTTTAAAGCTGGTAATTAAACAAACTCATGCTACTAAAACTCAGACTCTTTCTTGCTTTACACAAGCCTTCCTCAAAATTTCTCTTGAGCCAGAGACCCTCCCCGTGGGGATGATGGCAATCCTTTGTGTAAAAAGTGTAATGGGGTGCGAGCAGAGAGACCAGAGGCTCTGAGTGACTGAATGGGAAAATACAGAGGAAATGCTTGTGTACCCTGAATAACTGCTGTTTTGTGGACGGAGATCGTAATGTTACAAACTGACTGTCCTGTAAGCAACAGGGTGTCTAAGGGCATTTTCACGCACCCATGGCTGATTCTGGGCTCGTTTGGGGGAAGGGTTCATTATCGCAGGTTTGCTTTCACAGAGAAGAATTCCATCTGAACCTTGGATCGATTGCGAAAGTCCATATGCCAGATTTGTGCGGGCAGGTTTGCAAAATGGTAGACACAAGCGTCATCTGATTGCTGCTTTTTATTATTTTCTTTAGATACAAACACTCAAGCAGCAAAGAACAGAGCTTTTTTCACCGGCAATCATTTCCCTGCCATCACAAAACTTGAAAAGGGCAGTGATGCGATATTTCAAAGCAGTCACGTTACAAAATGAACCAATCACACAACACCACATACAGCACCAGGAGCAGATAGCTTCCACATGCACAGTGGACCACAGCAGAGTTTGTTAAAAGCGAACCCCAGACTACCGATTTCAGGAGGACCAGAGATTGGTTCTCCAGACCACTCCTAGGATCAAAAACAGCTTTCACACTTGACCAAGCATACTGAACTTGCAGAGAAAGTGGTCTGGGGTCTGGAAAAAAGCTCTAGTGTGAAAACACCCTAATACAAAAAACCAAAAGTCTTGTGAGATGAATGACAGCAAGATGTGCTTGCCACAGCTAGGATTTGCAATGTTTATTTAGCAAGTGTGTACAGTTTGTAACCATCAGTATTATGATGCATTACAGCACCAGTGATCAGTAATTATTTCTTTCTAACTTTTGTAATTGTAACTTTAATGACTCTGTTTTGCTGTTACTGAAGAAAACCATTGTAACCCCTGGAAGAGATTCGCTGACACCAAGAATATGATGGGCTTAAAGCTTACAAGGTTTGATTTGATTGGCCAAGCTGGTCGTATGCTTTTCGTCAATGCCAACCACCAGAGGATTGCTATTTCTTCTATATTAGAGAATCTGTGCTCAAGACGAGTACAACGATAAAACATAGAGCCGACAGAACTAAGAACTTCTTTTTGAAATCGACTCTCCATCACTACATCCAACAGACGTTTACCTCAGGCTAACTGGTACCAGTGCAGACACAGATAATGACATGAATGTTCGTCAATTCAAAGCAAATAACAAATTATGAAAGCCACATTCACAATGAAACAGAGGATATCTTTTAGCAACTCAGCGCTATTTTATCTAATAAGGACGTGGAGCAATGGAAGCTGTCTCTTCAGATGAGCTAATGCTAAAGCTAACACTGGAGCTAACAGGTGCAGCTTTGTTGTCTTGTACATGAGGTATTTTGACAAACTTTAAAATATTTGTAAGCGTACAAGTGCATTAACATTATCTTTACCCAGAATGTTTTCATCACAAACACAAAAACTGTACAGTCCTGCTTAATCTGACTCGTTTGCTAAGCTATCTCTTAGCAGGTTAAAAAACACTAACTTAGCTAGTGTTAGCTAACTGATATTAACACTGTTCTGCGATGTTATTTAAATGTTGAAAATCAATGATTTCACTGTTACAAAATTCAGTGACCTGGATAAAGCTTACCAGCAGCTTCTTTGTTCTGACATCTGACATCTTTCTCACTTCAGGACTGAACCAGAAACAGCGGCTGAATTACAATCTCCCCGTTAACACTTCAGCGCTTCTCTTATCCTAATAATTCTGACTAATAGACCATTTTCACACTTCTGTGTTCGTTGATGCGTAAGTAAATAGTAGCATTAAAAGGCTTCCAGTTGTGCTCTTTACAATGGCTGATACTGCCCAAAATCATTGCTGTGTTCCTAAATGCACCAATAATTCAACCAAACAGCTTTACCTCAGTTTCCACTCGATCAAGTTTAAAAATGTTCAACTTCAGCTGAAAAGAGACGCTCATCATGTGTCACTCTTAACAAGGTAACCGATCAAAAAAACAGAGTGAAACTGAACTGGAGAGCGAATGTGGGCTGTACAGTAGGACAGATTTACACACATTTGTGATTAAAAATGCTCAGCTCCAAGATAAATATTTAACCACTGGCGTATTTACAATCCTGGAGGTTGTCATCACAGAGGTTTGCTTAAAAACCTTGATAAACAGACTACTCACCACTGTAGCTCAATGATTAGTGGTTGTGGTGTTCAGGGTGCTTGCTAATGTTGCCTATGTTTACATGGGCTGGGCAGGAAAAACTAAGCCTGGTGGACTATTTCTCCTCCAAAATGAAGTGCAGTGAGTGCAAATCTGTTTAGGGATGTGTGAAGTAGTGTTGAACATAAAGATCTGCTCTGCCCCTTCTCCGCAATTCCTGTCTCAGTCAAATGCCTCATGGTTCAGACGTGGATTTTTTGCGGAAAGCGTTCCGCCATCTGAATGCAGCTGCGCTTTCAAACGTGGGATGCACAACACAGTCGTCTGCCGCGGTGTACTCCGTTTACCAGGCTCACCTCTGAGTCCACAGCGGCAGATGTGCAAGAGCATACAAAGTTCAAATGTTCTTACGTTTTGCGAGACGTTCCTTAGCCACGTCAAACAAGCCAGTCCACCCACATCGGAGGAACTACCAGACATGCCAAGTGCTCTACTATTACCCACGCTGAGGCCACAAGAAGGTTGGCTGTAACCGATGACCCTCCGCTGCCACAGTGCAGGCAGAAGTTTGATATTGCTACTATTCATAGCTAGAAGTGACGCAGTGACTGTGGAAAAAGGTCTATTTACTGCCAGCGTCATTCTCACTGCAGTTTTTCGGAGGAGTTTTACTTAATGTTAGCATTTGGAGACGACTGTGATTAGCTGAGAAGTGTTTCACCAATTTTAACAATATACGATATGCATCATGATATTTATTTTTTTCTGACATTTACTGGAACAGACGAAAATAGAACCTTTAGTGCCCTGTATAAAAAAATACTATTATGATACTACTACTACTACTACTACTACTACTACTACTACTACTACTACAACAACAACAACAACAACAACAACAACAAATAATAATAATAATAATAATAAACATTTTTCAGTGTTTCACAGACAGCATTGCAACAAATCAAATTAAACCTAATTATGCTCTCTTTGTAATGAAACATAGTCAGTGGTCTTTAAGTACTAAAGATATCCACAACATGCTCAGAAAAGTGTATTGAGACAAATTATCACGATATCTATAAAATATCGTCATATTGCCCACCGCTAGTTTAAATCACTCTTTTGCAAACAGTCAACTGTCATTTGTGCAGCCATTTAAACACAGCAAAACGGATCAAAATCTCCTTTAACTGAACTCAAGTTCAACATTTTCAGCGTCAGATTCTTCCACTAGCAGCCATAATCAAACTGGGCTGCAACAATATTTCCTTGTGAATCGTCTGACTGATTAAAATAATCAGAGAAACCAAACACACTTCGGCTAGATGAGGTGGAGCGGACGACGGAGCCGGAAAGAGGCTGCCATTCTGCTTTTCCCTGAGCATGTAACGTTATCCAGTTGCACAGCAGCCTTGAGAGGCTGTGCAGGAGAGAGTGGGGCGGGGGGTGAGGGGTGAGTTCACAGTAACACCAAGGGCGAAAATACTGCCATGCTGCTTTAAGACAACAAACAAAATGGGCACAAGAGGCAATCTCGCGTGAGCTAAATCACCTTTTCAGCGACGACAGACACCCATGTGGGGGAGGGGGGTCTCCACCGAAACAGACAGCGATTCCCCGCCGAGTCCATGCACCGCTCAGACACAAATCCATTGTTTGCACAAAACGTCGCCATGACGAGTCTCCCCCACCCCCCCTGTACCGAAGCAGAAACCGCGCACACCAACCTTTATCTCCGCTGTAGCCTGCTGGAATGGCCCATTATGGGATGAAATCCGTCGCCTAAAGTCAGATGAAGCGTTATTTACTCCCCCGCGGCGCTTTGTTGCGGTAAATTCCGCCGTGCTCGCTCAGTTGCGCTGCCCCGGAGCTGCCTCAACGCCATTGGCTGACCGCTCTGCTGCAGTAGAGCTCTACACAGTCACGAGCCTCCTCAGCTTAACCCTGCGCGTGCCGGAGCGGCTGTAGGAGCCTCTTCGTTTAGTGTGTTTGAAGTGCGTTTCTGCGGGCGTTTTCGCCCTGCTTTACTCGTCGCTACCAGCTTGTGTTGGGAATGTGTTAGAAACGTGTTTAAACGCGTATTAGGCTTGTTATACATGTGTTTAAGGAGAGCCTGCCCACTTCCTATTGCTCCGGCTACATCTAAAACGTGACTGTGAAACGCCAGAGGGCGCGCGCGAGCGAGTCCTAAATAAATGGGAGGGAAATGGAGCTAAACGACTAAAAACGAAATTTGAAAATAATTTCTAACCTCTTGTTCAGGACTTTAGTTTAAGTTTGAAAAGTAGAAGGTAAATCTCACTAAAAAAGCAGAACATACCTGCATACTTCCTTTTTTTTCTTCCGTCAATGGCTCTTTGACAGTAGGACACTAGCATTACATTAGCGTTTGACCTTACCCGGTTGACATTACTATTGACTACTGATTGGTCAGCATTACTGCTACTGAGTGCTGATTAGTTGACATTACTGATACTGAGTACTGATTGGTCAGCATTACTGCTACTGAGTGCTGATTGGAGAGCAGAGCAGTTCACTGGCTGAGTGAAGCGTTTGCACTCGCTGACGTCATGAACGTACATAAGGTGCTGTTGTAAAGTCCTATAACTGGATTTAGGAAGTGCTCAAAAATATAATAGAGGTGATCAAATGTTTTATGCTGTTCTGTGTTCAGGAAATTAATGTATTATTCTATATAAAAAATTAGCATTTACAAATTATGATTTTGCTAAAATGCTTCATATTAACCTATTCATTTTGGACTCTCGGGAGCACCCTCTAGTGTTTGATGAACCCAGAAGACATTGCTGAGTGGCGGTTCTCTCTACACATTCTCTGGTTTAAAAGTGCTTTGAGAAGTGTCTTTACGTATTAACCCTGTGTGTGCCAGAGTGTGTGAGGTGTGTTGAGGAGTGCATTTCAGTGGGAGTTAGCCCTGCACGCATGTAGGAGTGTGTTCTTTGTGTGTTTTGGTGTTTCCATAGGAGTGTGTTCTTTTTTATGTATGTTCTTTTTTATGTGTAATTCATTTTTTTAGCAATTTCTGACCTCTCTTATCCCTGATAATTAAACAGGCTGTTTGTATGACTGTTCTTTTACAATACTGTGCAAAAGCCTCCACTCATTGTCCACTCTATTAGACACTACTACCTTGTTGGTCCACCTTGTAAAGTCAGAGACAGTAGCTCATCTGTTGCTGCGCAGTTTGTGTTGGTCATCCTCTAGTCCTTCATCAGTGGTCACAGGTTGCTGCCCACAGGATGCTGTTGGCTGGATATTTTTAGTTGGTGCACTATTCTCAGTCCAGCAGTGACACTTAAAAACTTCACCACCACATCAGTCACTGCAATACTGAGAATGATCCACCCAAATAATATCTGCTCTGTGGTGGTCTTTGTTTCCAGCTCCTACCATTTATGATTAGTTCAGTCAAAAGTTGTGTGTGTGCGAAAATTTCAACTTACCAGGGCTTCACTGCAACAACCACTGAAAAGTCTTAAAATTGTGTAAACAGTTAATTCACAATAGTTGTATTGTTTGAAACAGATGAACTTACCAACCTAAAAACAGAAAAATATATGCATCTAAATAAACATGATTATTAAAAAAAAAAAAAGATAATGATTATTTTTTTAATGTGGCAAATGTATTTTTAACTACAAAGTAGGAAACTAGATATCACCATGATAAAATTAAATGAACATATATTTCATTACATCACATTACATCTATAGTAAGTTTTTGAAGAATCTCTGTAATAACTTCAAACAAATATAACTGCTTTGAATATCTATAAAGGGTATGGACCCCTTTAACACCATGTTAAAACTAACACCCTCATGGGGAAGCCATATTTTAGCCTGGCTGTCTCTCACTGTGAGTTGTTTACATGCTTCAAAATGGTGCTACCTTATAGACTCCAAAAGGTGAATAAAATAATACAGGTGAGAAAATTGAGGTGAGTTATACGCACAGTCAGTAATCAAAAAACATTAATGATTAAAAAGTTCCTTTCATGGTAAAAAAAAAATAATAATAATAAACTTAGTGAAAAAAGTTGGTGAACCTTGAGAAATATTGGTCTATTTGTTCCAAAATTCACAGTTCATGATGCTACAGGAATACGAGAAAGTGGCCAAAAGCATGTTCTACTTAAATTTGTTTAACTACATAAAAGATCAATGTTACATTTCACCCTAGTGCTGGTTTTGCCAGTCACCCAACATGGCCTTGCTGGCTAACCAACCTATCAGCATCCAAAATACAACATATGCTGGTTTCGGTGGTGATCAGCATATTAACTTCCATTGCTGCTGTATACCAGTATCCAAAACACTATACACTGTATACACACTCACTAACAAAAAAAATATATATGCTTGCTAGCTAAGATCCTGCTAGTACATGGTAGTAGAGTAGGAATGACATGGACATATCAAAGTATGTCACTTGAATTTATGAAACGACAGTAATGACAGCACTAACAGCCATGTTTTAGTCTAGTTTTTAACTTTCATACTAGTTGTTCTGACAATAAGAGAGAACAGTTAGTACCAGAGAACATGTTTGCAATGGAAATGCTCTTTCTTCAGCAGCTTGATCAACTCGATGCCAGGTGGAAAAACAAAGAACTTACCTGTTCCCAGAACAGCAGGGTGGCAATAGGTTTTATCTTAGATGTAGCTGATGGTAAGCTCTGCAAACATCGCCAAATTCACTGGCTGGTATCACAGTGGCATAGGTAGCTCAATTAACACGAACACTGACACTGCTTTTAGACCATTACAGTGCCCAGCAAAGAGTTACAGATATGCAAATCTGAAAACACACATATCTCATTCACTAGACCTCTTAAATTGTGTTGCTATTCTGTATCTGGTGTCACGCTCAGATTAGGATTTCTGTATGAAGAAAATGAATGGCATTTTTGAAAATCGCTGCAGTAGTGATTTTTCAAAATATCTGGTAATTAAATGGTTCAGAGCAGTTTGGTGTGAAATGCTTCCTTCTAGAAAATCTTACCTAGTCTAATCGTTCACAGTGGTGGTGACAGGAACCAGACGTCTGAAGAGTTTAATGCGTCTTAAAAGCTCCCTCACGGAAAGTTGATCACAAAATGATTATAAATACATGAACATAATTTTATTTTAATATATTCATAGTGGAGGGATACATGAAAAGTCAAAATAGTCCCAGAAAGAAAACTGCTTTTTTCAGATTTACCACTATTTTACCATCAACATTACAAATAAAACAACTCAGAAGTCACTGGTGTTTTTATGTAGTCAATAATATGGGCTATATTTGAGTTGTGCATCGAAAAATGATTTGTTTACATCCCAACTACTGAATTCTGCAGATATTTTGAAAGATCGGTGGAATTCCCCTTTAAGTGTATAGAGTCAGAGGCTCACACGTGCTTGCACACGTCTATGAAACCTCATAAGGCTCCTTCAGTGCGCGCGAGGACATATAAGTCGATGTATCGCCCTCAAACACGTTAAACACACAGTATCGCAACGAACGTGAGTCATTAGCACTAAACCCAGAAGCAGCTCCATCACACACTCATCCCAGCCTCACACGTCACTTCCTTCACGGGCCCGAGCCACCGCTTTACTATATTTGGGCAAAGGCGCGAGCGGGGCGGAGGGGCGCGTGCACTTCCGCGAGAAACACTCACACATATAACGCTACACGCAGCTTCGTCGGGACCGGGCTCCGGTAGCGTTTTGTGTTTTGTGTGTGTGTTTTTTTTGCCCCCCGTTCAGTCCGGTTCGGTGGATCAGTGCCGTCATGTCGTACGAGCTGAGTAAGTGCAGCCGGAGCTCCGGAGCTTTTGTTTTGGGGGGGTTGAACGGAGATACCGGGGCTACAGCACCGGGCTAATGCAAACCGGGTTCGGCTCATTAGAACCAGGAGCAATGCTGGATCAGAATCTTAATTATAACGTTGTAGATGTTAATATTTGTCTAGGTTATAACGTTAACCTACGTCCTGTAGCCTGTGTGGCTAAAGTTGGCTTGCTAATTTCCCGTTCCACCTTAAATGGTGCAGCTGTCTGATTCAGGCGCCCCCAGACGCTGGTATGTAAGTGCGGCACCATTTAAGGTGGAATGGCAAGTTCGAATAAGAAGCGAGCTTACTATTGCACTCTTCTTGTGCCTCCTTTGGCAGCATTAAGTTAAATCTTAAGTAGGCAAGCCGGTAAAGCCATTTGCACAGTGCTAAATGGATACGTTATGTTTAAACCACAAACATGGGATGTGTGTGTATGTATGTGGTGCTTTGTGTTGCTGCACCTATATGCGGAAATACTGACTGGTTTTGACAGGCAGGCTGCTTTCAGGGCTTTCAGTGCTTGATTCCAACAGACACTTTTATTATCAGTGCAGAGCAAACCTGGCAAACCAGCTGCCTCTCGTCTGTGTGTGATTTGTGGTTTGATTCACAAATGCAGCCAGAATGAATGAGCTAGGTGCATTTTGACCTCATTTGTTTTGGAAAACCGACCTGAGCCCAACCCTAAATGCTGTTAGCCTAGCCTGCTAGCCCAGTCTGCCTGCCTGGGGCCTGCAGTCTACTGCATGAGCACTGGTGTTTAGATTAAACTGTGATTAGATTTTGATTTTAAAGACGTTTTGGACAGTAGTTTTGAAAAGTAGGGCTGCATGGTTATTATTAATGTCAAGTGCAGTTGCCATTTAGCATCACTGTAACGTTAGCTGATTTCACTGCAGTTGGTCAGGATTAAGGAATTTATGGGCATATATCAATCATTTTTCATGTATTTTAATTTTCCTGTCTGATAGCCAGACGCTTGTCTGAGTTTATGTAACGCTACTAAAATTATTAAATTGTACGTGACTATTTTCCAACTCCTTTTAAAACAGGCTGTTTTTTTTTCTACTGTGCCTTTAAGACTGATATGTAAATTACTTCTGTTTTGATTGGCATTCAAAAATCAGTCCATGCTGAAACATTTTATAAATCCAGCCTGAATGGACAGCATGAATCGCTTTAGACTAAATGAGTAGATATATGTAAATGCATTGGTTTTAGTGACGTCACAAAAACAACAAATCCAAAATGGGCTGTTTTTGCAATTTAGTTTCCAAATGTGGACTGCATAGACATATATTTATACATTTTATATATATTGAAACATTTGCAAACATTGTAAGTTTTCCATGTTATGAGACCTTTAGTGATGGGTTGTAAAACGAAATGCGTAATAGTAGTCAAGCAACAAATACACTAATCACTATTAATAACTGAATAATGGATGAGAAATATAGCATTTATTTCTATGGGGTTATAAATGCAGACATTTTTGTATAGTAGCCCACAATCACCAAAATATTCATAGTGCATAGTGCATTTAATTGTCTTTTAATTGTAAGATTGTGGACTGTGCATTCGATCTGTATAAAGCTTGCATTGCTTTGTAATCATTAGTTTTGTTTGGTGTCCTGCAGAGCGCGTGTTTGCCAGCCTGCCTCAGATGGAAAGGGGTGTGGCCAAAGTGCTGGGTGGAGATCCGAAGGGGAACAACTTTCTGTATACCAATGGAAAGAGCGTCATCATCAGGAACATTGATGTAAGATATCATCTTCACAGCTTTACCTGATTGGACCTCTGGATAGGAAATTAAAATCAAGATTCGGTCAAGATTCACTACTACAGCAGTGTTTCCCACAGGATTTTGTGAGACTGTGGATTGGTGGACCGTGTCTGGGCCTCTTAGGAAGGTCTGGGGGTAGGGTCCCCTGGAAGAAAATTGTGTATAAGTTAAATGCATTTATTTTGGTGCACCTTTTAGAGCAAAATTAAGATGTTAGATTTATTACCTTCATTAACTTTAGAACTTTATGCTCTAAATGGTCTTGTGCTTTAGGAATTTAATCATAAACACAGTGTTTGTATGGGTATGAATGAGACAACCAGTAAAAAAGGTCACAGCCACGAACCGTGGGAGAGCAGTTTAACAATTCACAAACGGTCAAAACAAAAAACTGGAGTATACATAGCGCAAACATTGAGCTTAAAACAGTAGTGTTAATTTCAACTTGAATAGTTACAGCTACTTCAACTTGATTAGTTAACAATACAAATAGCCTAACGTTACATGAAGAACTAACTTGCACCTTAGAGAGTGAAAATAGTTATGTTGTCAGGACGTATGCATGACATAATCTTGTTAAAGGTCTTAAAAGACCTTAATAGAGAATTGCATCTTAGAACTTGCTGAAATATTGCAGTAGCTCTGGTTAGACTATGCAGTCATATTTTGAAGGACAAAAATCCACTAACGGGTGAGTTGGCAGCATCGATATCAACTTTTCCGACACTGTAACAGGCTAAAACTCTGACCTCAAATCACACTGTTGTGTCCTCAAAATGCCCCATGTCTCAGATGCAGCCAGGTGACAAGACAGTCCAGTGCTTATGTGTGTGAGCCTGCGCACATACAGTTTGAGAGGGGAGCAGAGCTGACTGGCTGTGTGAGATGTTTTGCTGAAGCAACAGGACAAAACACAGTATTGTTTGTTATTATGAAAAGTGTACAGATATTTTCGGGTAATTAAGAAACTGTGGCAGGACGAATTAGACTATAGCGGGCGCCACGGTGTAGGTAATTAATGGAAAACATTGTACAGGCTGAATTATCTTAGGCTTACCCAAGGCAGCCCTGGACTTCCTTCTTTTATTATTGAGCACTACCGCTATTTCTGTCCTCAGGGTCATTGGTTGCGTTTACATGCAGAGAGTTTAGTCACTCTGAATTTATTATCTGAATTTATTCTGATTTCAGAATTGAAACTTTGAAAGTCATTGCTGTCATATGAGCTTTGTGTTTTGGATTTTATGTTTCTTTTGAAAAGAGACACTCTGGTGAAAAAGAATAGTGTAACCATTGCTACTTCTGTTATATACATGCCAAGTCGCCTTCTACGGTAGTGCTGCCATAGTCTCTAGAGTAAGATTTTTGCAGTTTAAAGACTAGGAAAACGCACTTCTGATCTTGGAGGTGGGAGGAAGTTTTGAGAAACTGAAAGTGCTTGTTTGGATTTTTTTTTGCTTGCTGGCTAATGCAGAAGGAAGCCGAATATCATGTCTGTATAGCCTCTGGATCAGTGGCTGTGCTTGCAGTCAGGATTTCTTTTTTTGCCGTTGGGGATTCCCGCTGGTTATATGACATATTTGCATACTGCATGCTGGGTACTGCAGCGAGAGAACAGTGATGGTTGCAAATACAAAATAGTGAATTCTGTTGGCCATGGCCAAGGGATGCAGTGCTGGACGACAGAATATTACATAACATGACACTTCACATATTAAACAGAAGTTTTAGGCCAGAATGCCCATTTATTTTGACTAAAATTAATGCAGAATGCTGTTTGCATCTTCTATAAAGTTACCATTTCAGTACCATTTATGTGTATATCTTGCACTCAGCAAGCTGCTAAAAATATCAATGTGTGTTAGACATGAGCACTAAATAAAATGTGTGGGTCTGCATTTAGAGTCAGTTGTTACCATAACAAGAAGATGGAGTCTTGTGTTTCCAGGATGTTTACAGGGTTTTTAGTCAGTTTTCTTTTATGTTTAATCTATGTTTAACGTAGTCATTGAGAAATCTATTTTAAATTTGCTCCATACTCTTTCATTTTCTCAAACACTAGCTTGCTTGTCCAAAGTTTGTTTCCTCAGCACACCAGTTTTTGGACCCATTAAGGTTGTTGTGATGCTGACGTGCATTATTATTATTGTTTTTAAAGATGTATTTCACCTCTTTCAATGAGATACAAAATGGATTGATATTAAGCTCTATTGGGTTACCCTATTCCAGTATTTGTGTTTTATATAAAGTTTTGATTGATTGACCTTGTTAGTCAAATATTTATATTAATGTAGGTCTTTGTGAAATTTTGGTGATCGAAGCAGCTGTGCTTAAGGGAATTCCACTGTCTTCTCTGCATAGTTGCATCATGAAGACTTAAACAAAGCCATTCACAATGGTTTTCAACATTATAGAAAAAGTAACTAAGTCAGAATTGTTCACAGTGATAGAAACCAGATATCATAAGTGTTTAATACCTCTAAAAGCTTTTTGTTTCTATGTTGCTGGCATAAAATTCAAAATGGGCACATATTTTTCATCATTTGATATGATGTCTTTGTACTATTTTCACATAAATATAATATTATATAAATATAATAATTGTTTACCTCTCAGTGGTTGAATTAAGCAGAAACAGTGGAAAAATTGGTGGAATTCCTGTTTACACTCTGTTTGATTGCTTGTAGTACTGAATGCAGAATGCTGTTGAGCTGAAGGAGTTGTTCCTCTCTGTGTGTCTTTCAGAATCCCGCCATTGCTGATGTCTACACAGAACACCCTCACCAGGTCATCGTTGCCAAGTACGCCCCCAGCGGTTTCTACATTGCCTCAGGAGGTGAGAACGTCTCTAAAAGCGAAAAAAAAATCTAATTTACACAATTTCCCACTCACCCCAAATGTAGGGGATCAGCCAAGATATGTTTAGTGTCCAAGGTCAGGATCATGGGAAGTGGAGGTGCTGCACCAACAGACCTCTTGACTTGAAATGGTTACTTGGTCTGTAGTTTGGATTGCAAGTATGCAAGCTAGCTAGCGTGATAGCCAGTCCAGCTGAAGTTTGATTTTGTTTAAAAGAACGTGATCTGTAACTTACTAAAACAAGCATTGCAATAGTTAGCATCTTTGCTATCCAAATGGCTTGCTAACCAGTCTTTTAAACAGCACATTTACTGCATAAAGCCTTTTTTCTGTCCATCAAACTAAAGGTTCCCTCAGATACGAGCGACCAGTGGTCAGTTTTCTCCAGTCTGTTATTAATAGGGATGTTGGTGCTGTACACTGGCAGGCTGTAACTCTTGTTCAGGTTTACAGGAAGTGCTGCCTGATAGGAATCCAGTCAGGACTAGGGCTTTATTGAAAGTTGGACAAATTTCTTTCTTTGTGACCTGGAGATACCAGTAACTGACCCAGAGAAACTCAGAATAGATGCCTTAAAGTGTAGGAAGGGTGGAAAAAGGAAGCAGCGGAAAACCAACTCATTTGAGGAGTAGCCTGGCTGTGTTCCAGCCTGTGGTTGGAAAACCAGATCAGCTAAACTTAGTGGTGGAGTATCCTGGAAACCACCCTATGTTTGAACCTGGAAGCAGCCTAAATATGTTCTCTTGGGTCAGTTTTGCTTTTTCATTCCAGAGCGTTAAAATTATGCAGGCAGTGTATCAGTTGCTTTTTGGATCAGTTAAAGGAATGGTCTAGGTTTCACCCGAGGTGTGGGCAGCTGGTGAAACCCTGTGCTTTAGCCAAACTCTTCTGGTTGCCTAGTTACAATGAGGTTATGAGACTCAATTAGCCAGGCGCTGAGCTGTGTTGTGTCCTCTCATGTTTGGCCTGTAAATGGTTTTTGGGTTTGATGTACATTTTTAGGAAAAACCTTCAATTGGGGTAGAACCTTTTTGTCTTTTGAAGGTTCTTTAACCGCTTGAACCCTATGCCAATAAGTCAGTTGTGAGTTTGTTATAAAACATTTATTAAACAATTCATTATGTAGTAGCTACTATGCATTTATGTAACAGTTGTTCTCCTGTCAGTCCAAAGAATAATTTGTCACCTCTGTTTTTAAGAATGTAGTGTAGGGGTCTGTTACATTGGCTGTGTTCGTAAGACTAACTGCCGTGTCTCTTTGCCTCAGATGTTTCAGGTAAGATCCGTATTTGGGACACGACCCAGAAGGAGCACCTGCTGAAGTATGAGTACCAGCCCTTTGGAGGGAAGATAAAGGACATCGCCTGGACTGAGGACAGCAAGCGTATCGCTGTGGTTGGAGAGGGCAGAGAGAAGTGAGAAGTCTGCCATTTTAATCTGTCCTTTCTGAATGGTTAAAGAAATAGTTTGGCTCAAAATTGAATTGAAAATGGACAAAAGTGTTACTGTTTTTAGTGATGTAATGTGCTGTGGGCATTTTTCATATAGTTGTATGCAAAAAGTTGGGTACCTCTGGCCAAATTACAAAATTTTGTTGATTGATTTGATTGATTGATCGATTTATTTATTTATTTATTTATTTATTTTATTTATTTTTTCATCAGTTTTACACCTTTTATGAAGTACTTATTAACACCTTCTTTGGCAGATATCACAACATGGAAACACTTTCTGTTGCCAGCCTGGGAGGCTTTCTATTTTTGTTTTAGCTGTAAGATGCACAATGGTCACCCACTCTTTCTTGCTGAACTTCAAGTTCTGTCATGTTCTTGGGTTGTCTTGCATGCACAGCATGTTTAAGATCTACCTACAGATTTTCAGCGATGTTTAAGTCAGGAGACTGTGAGGGCCATTCCAATAGCTTGAAGTAGTTGATCATTGATTGTAAGGTGTGTTTAGGATCATTATCCTATTTTCAGCTTCAGTTTCCTGACTGACTAGGTTCACATTTGCTCCCAGAATTTGCTGATATTTAGTAGAGTCCATTCCAACATCTGTCTGTGTAATATTTCCTGGGCCACTGACTGCCACAAATCCTGAAAGCATAACAGGTCCAACCCCATACTAGCAGTTGGCAAGGTGTTCTTTTCATCATATGCTGCTCCCTTTTTTCTCCAAATATACTTTTGGTGTTTGTGGCCAAAGAGTTTTTGTGGCCATTGTTACTTCATCAGTCATCAGCATTTGTTTCCAAAATGCCTCTGGCTTCTCTGGATGTTGTTTTGCATAATTAATATGTTGACCTTTGTGATGGTTGCAAGTAAGCCTTCTGTCTGAAAACGGTTCCATACAGATCATGTTTATGTAAGCAATGCTGCACAGTAGAATGGTGCATTTCCACTCCTGTCAGCTAAACCTGCCTGCAGGTCCTTTCCCGGCATGTGGGGCTTTTACTTTGCCGTTCTGGCCAGCATACAAGATGTTCTATATGAGAGTTTTCTTGGTCTTCCAGATCTCGCATTGACTTCAACAACTCCTGCCAACAGTAATGTATTACGCTCTGGAATTGTCATCAGCTGACAATTCATAAAGATAATTATTCCTGTCTAACCAGTCCTAAAGAGTGAATTGAGGCCTAACGAAGTTCTGAGGCTTCATGACTCGAAACGTGTCCAAACTTTTGCACATTTGTTTTTAAATAGTTGGCTGCAGAGGATGTGTTTGTCTTTTTGCTTCACATCTTTGCTTACATGCTGTGTCTGTGTGTGTCCCCTGCAGGTTTGGTGCCGTGTTCCTGTGGGACAGTGGTTCGTCAGTTGGGGAGATTGTGGGCCACAGTAAGATCATTAACAGCGTGGACATCAAGCAGACACGGCCGTACCGTCTCGTTACCGGCAGCGATGACAACTGCACCTCCTTCCTTGAGGGACCTCCATTCAAGTTCAAATGCACCCTGAGTGTGAGTTAATTTATGTACGTGTATGTGCATGTGATACAGAGAACCATAGCTGTAAGCTCACATAGTTTAATTTTAGTTCTAGAAGTGCTAAATGATGTGTCCAAAAATCTCATCACAGCATTTTCTTTTTTTTCAAATAATTTGATATTTGTAGTTACAATTTAAAAAAAACATTGTTTCTCCACAGTGAAACTTTATAGAAGAAGATAAAAAGTTAATATAAATGACTTCAATGTACGTTAATATAACAAGCTTTTATTCCTGTTGACTTTGGACCCTTTTTTTGTTTTTTTGTTTTTTGGCCGATTCATTATGAAATGACGACTAAAACAGTTTGAGGGTAGCTGGTATTTAAAAAAAAATATATATACTGACAAAATATAGTGATACAATAGCAACAGTTGTATATTTTCCAGTACTTTACAAATCCTTGTCCTTTTAAACAATCCCTAATTTCAATGCTGTAAATAGCTCACTAGCTAACTGGGCTACCTGTCCTGCTGGTTTGTTCTGTTAAGAGTGGCTGTGACAACCATGAATCCCTATCTGCGTATTAGGAAGCTGCAGTTTCTGTCAGTGCACTCTTAATTTCTAGCGACTGACTAACTCTCAAAAGCTGCTTTTGTAGTCACCCTTACTAAGGTTAATTTGTTACCCAACTTGGATCTGTTTGTTCATCCAACATTAGGCTGCCAATCACATCATTTGTTCCAGAAAAAATCCCTGTATTAAAGCATTTACATACAGACACTCTTATCCAGAATGGCTTGCAGCATGAGCAGGCTCGCTCAGGGATGCTTATTGGTACAGCATGATGGGCTTGTCTGGGCAAGAAATCAGACTTTAGCCTGCGGGTTGGAGGGCAGGGGTGTTGCCTGCTATACTGTACTAAAGCCCAGAATGTTTAATAGTATTTATTAAATAAATTCTTGTCTATTAGCTTACAGATGGTATGGTGTAGTGAGTAACACTGCTGTCCTTCACACAGCAGACTGAGATTTGATTCCCTGCTTGGGACAGAACCAAGAGTACTTGGGCAAGACTCATAATGTTATGTTAATTACCTAAGTTGATTAGACTAAGCCATTCTGGATGATGATGTCTTCCAAGGGTTTCCCCTTTTAATCAATTTTATTACTCAGTTTTATTGCCAGCTTAATGTTGGATGAACAGAGAAAGTACAAAAAGAGACTACAAAAGCAGCTAAATAAAACCCAAAAATGTTAATGTGTCACGTTGCCTTGAAATTTTGAGCTCTCTCAGTTAAAAAAATAGTTTCTTTTTACGGTAGCCTGGAAGATTGCACTGTTGTTTCATGAATAGCGTATTTGCTTGTGGCTAGTATGTAAAATTGGTGCCTATATGTTAGCCTGTTGCAAGATTGGGACACTAAAGCACAGCTTTTGTTTTAAATATTGCTCTTTAATAATGGCGAATGCTTTAATAAACTGAAAATGGAAATATCCTGTAAAGTTAAATCACATTTTAGCCACACTTTATATTTACGCCACATTTTAGCCACTAAGGTCAAATTCAGAATTTTACACTCTTAGTAAAGGTAGGTGGATTAATAATTAAACTGTAGGTGGACTAATAATTAAACATGTAGCCAAGTTTGTTTTTTTTCCCCTTCTTATCTTCATGCCTATGTATGGCATACACCAACTTCAGATAGTTAGTTTATGAGGCTGGTGAGTACAGATGATGGTTAATGTGTCCAAATTCATTTACCTATTCAAATGTCCACCCTCGCTGTGTAGCACGATATTAATGAGCCATCAGTGAATGGCTAGACGTAAGCAGTGTCTCAAAGCCAAGGCCGCATTTCTTGGTTGTCATGTGATGGAAGGCTGTCCTGTTTGAATGTAGCCTTTATTTCTAGGATTTGAACTGATGAATCCTTTGAGGCCTTCATGCACAGCACAAAATCATTGAGAAGGGAAAAAAAACAGAAATGGCTGTGAGTGGTGGGATACAGCACACACACACACACACACACACACACACACACACACACACACACACACACACACACACACACACACACACATACATACATCATCTAAACCACTTATCTTTCTGGGTTGCGGTGGGTTGTTGGAGCCTATCCCAGCTGTCATTGGGCGGAAGGCAGGATACACACTGGACTGGTCGCCAGTCCATCGCAGGGCAGGGATACAGCGCTAGAGGTTATAATTTAACATAACAAAATATGCATTTGAATTGAATGTTTTTAAATGCAAGATCTAAAGATTTAAAAAAAGCATTCCTGCACAGGTCATCTCGACTGTACATAAGTGAGCACAGAAAGGGGAGTCACATACCAGCACTAGTGAAATCTCCCTTGTTTGAGCGGCAGCCTTCACTTTGACACCACTAGTGAATAGCTAGACTTCCTTCCGTTTTTAGGTAGTGGAGTAGCAATTTCCAGAGTTCAAGCCTGGATTGTTAAGACTGGATAGCAGAGCAGAGTGGTATAATAATTTTATCAAAAAAGCGTATTTTCAGTATCAAAAATCATAACTGTAATCAATGCCTTCAGGAGAGCATCAGTATATTTAGAACTGGCTGTCTTAAGTTGGCATTGGAGCTGCTGAAAGATGGTAGTGCTGCAGGGAATATCTAAACTGTAACTGAAAACCTTTTAAAACAGCCTGGTCTGCTTAGGCAGCTCCCTGAGCTCATCTGCTAAATGCTGTGTCTATGGACGGATAGTATTTCATGCAGATTGATATAATTTATCTCTGCTGATTTTATTTATGTATCCCAGTTTAAATCTGCTTTGTTTATTGTATCATTGAGCAAGCTGAAGAACAAGATTCTTTAAAATCTGACCTACTTTGAGAACTATGGTGCAATCATAAGAGTGTAATGAGGTCTGTGAATAAAGCTGCAGATGTGAAATCAGTTTTTTATATATATAAAAAAAACTGTCTCAATCATATTCATCTTGGACACTTTCTCTAAAATGCAGGCTCAGATACTGGCTAATTCTAAATGGCTACCACACAGGCTTTGGCATCCAGATCATTTTGTGCTATTTAGAGAACTGTGTACATTACTGAGCCATCTTAAATTTCTTACATTTAGGGGGAAAAGTTCCCAGCGGTGAGTAGCAAGAATGGAATGTGCTACAAGCCTGAACATATTTTACTTGGGCAGCACCATGCAAGGTCACTAGCTATTCACGTTTGCACACTCAACTTCAGAGCTTGAGAGTAAGCCATGCAACGGAAGTCAGTCTGTCAGCACAGCAAGTGTGAAAAAGGGCCAGTAATATTGACCAATCAGGCAAACATTAATAACACCTCCTTGTTTTTACTCTCATTGTCCATTTTATCAGCTCCACTTATCATATAGGAACACTTTGTAGTTCTGCAATTACAGACTGTAGTCCATCTGTTTCTCTGCATACTTTGTTAGCTCACTTTCACCCTGTTGTTCAGTGGTCAGGACCTCCACAGGACCACCACAGTGCAGGTATTATTTGGGTGGTGGATCATTCTCAGCAGTGCAGTGACACTCCTGTTTTTTCACTTACTTTCCTTTTGACTTTGTTATTCCTTGTTCAAGTGGATCATCTTGTATCAGATATTCTCAGCAACATGTCCTGAAAACGGAATCATTTTTCCTTAATGGCTGTTTTGACTGGAAATTTCAGTAGAAGGTACTGTATATTTGGGCTGTACTGGCATTCAGCATATACGCAAATGTGACTCTCTCTCTCTCTCTCTCTCTCTCTCTCTCTCTCTCTCTCTCTCTCTCTCTCTTTCTCTCTCTCTCTCTTTCTTTCTCTCTCTTTCTTTCTTTCTGTAGGATCACAGCCGGTTCGTCAACTGCGTGCGTTTCTCACCGGACGGAAGCCGCTACGCATCTGCAGGGGCCGATGGGCAGGTAAGGTTCAGATCATACGTCCTACAATCATTCTAATACTAAAATAAAAGTACTTCATCCTCTTTATACTGTGTACTCACTCAAGAAATAACTTTGACTCAGTTCACTTAGCTCTCTCTTTCTTTAACTCCTTTCTTGCCATCTTTTTTTTTTTTCTGTTGATTTTATCTCTCTCTTGTCCCAGATTTTCCTGTATGATGGGAAGACTGCAGAGAAGCAGGGCACGCTGGGTGGAGCTAAGGCCCATGAGGGCGGGATATATGCTGTATGTATTTTAAGCTTCTTTGTTTCCTTACATTGTGTGTGGTTTTGATGTAGAAGGAGGCTGTTCATTTATTGCAGAGAAAGTGTGTTGTTTGGTTTGGGGGGGGGGTGCAGGGAGGTGTTACATGTCTGCAGCACTAAATAGCATGAGTGAGGTGGAAATGGTAACTTCCTCTTTACATGAGCTAGCTGGAAGTGTCTGTCAGATTTAGATCTGCTGAGTCAGTGTATTTCATATGAAAAGTCTTGTTAGTGTATGTTTCACGTGGCACATCACATCAGCCTGGATTGTGTAATTGCTGAGGTTGTAAAGCAATCAAACTAGTTAGTTGCAATGAAATTCATTTGTTTTATTTGCTTCAATTTGACCCTAAAGAAATTTAAAAGCAATGCACTTTGTTATAGCTGCATCAGTGGACTAAATAAGCTTCATCAGAATGTAATTATTACTTTCAGTAATTCCGTGACAATATCTTCAACACTTAAATGCTGAGTTCACATGAACCTGAACATGAAAATCATGTGATTTCCATAGAGGGAACGCAGTGTCCCATTTTCCTCACTGATGTATAGTATATAGACACCTGCACTGGCTGCATGTTCTGACCAATGAGCTCATGCAGTTGTATGCAAAAGTTGGAAGACCCCCAGTCACATAGCATGTTTTGTTCATTTTATAAGCGAAAATAAGTGAACACAGAGAAAATGTGTTTGTGCAAATTTCTGGTTTTGACATATTGAAAAAAATAAAACATGAAATATTAAATTTGCCATAATTTCTGCACCATATCTGTTGTGTCCTTCTTGAAGCGAGAGTTTGGAATTTATGGGTATGGACAAAGATTTCCAAGATGAGCTAGTATTGACTAGGAAGCAAGATGGCAAGTAAGCCAATTTAGCCACTTTAGTCATGTATTTTAGTTGCCCATAATTATTTTAATTGCAATTAATCGTCAGCTAAATTTTCATAATTGTGACAGGCCTACCAGGGATTGAGATTTTTTGGGCGGGGGGGATTAATTTGTTAGGGTGGTGCTGCTTACACTGAAGAAGTTCTACTTAATGACTGTCATCTAAGACAAACCAGAGGTCTGTAGAATCGAGACATTTTAACACATAAAATGTTGAAAATTCAATCTTGACCTCATATTAGATCTGAAATTATGTATCATTACACCTCTTATTATGGATGATGCTGATGATGGGGATGGTAATGGTGATTGCTCTTTGTTGCTCTATAGGTGTGCTGGAGTCCTGACAGCACCCAGCTCATCTCAGCGTCTGGTGACAAGACAGTGAAATTATGGGATGTGGCCACCGGTACTGCAGTAACAACCTTTAACCTGGGGTCAGATGTGCTGGACCAGCAGCTGGGCTGTCTGTGGCAGAAGAATCACCTCCTCAGCATCTCGCTGTCTGGATACATCAACTACCTGGACAAGAACAACCCGAACCGGCCTCTCCGGGTCATCAAGGTGAGAACAGCGCTTTTCTCTAAGTGTAGTCCATCAGCCTAGAGAAGTTTGGTGTTTCAGGTTTGCGTCTTTGTTTTTGGAAAGCATGAAGACAATTCTGAAAACCTAAAAGTTCTAACTCCTAACTTGGTACTTTGGCATGTTTAGAGGGCACATGAGTAATGTTTGTTTATTTGTTAGCTGTGTAGCTGCTGTAATAACACTGACATGGTGGTGGCGTATTAGTGTTTGTTGTACTGGAATGAGTGGATCAGACACAGCAGTGCTGCGGATTTTTTAAACACGGTGTCCGCTCTCCTAGTGGTAAAGTAAGGCCTTCTACCAGAGGTCTTTAAATCTGCACATTTAATTCAGTGTCCAATCCTGAATCTTGAAATCACTGAGAGTTAACTCAACTGTTGATGTAAATGACGCAAAGTGTGACCATGTGCCGTGAAGTCAATTCCAACTTCTAGCTACGATATGGATAGTGTTTCTCCTGAACGTTCTGTCTTCTGTTCGGGTCCTCAGACTTCTGATTGGCTGATTCATGAATCCTCTGATTGTAGCCATCCATCTTGTAACTGATCATTTTCTTCCTCGCTTACTTTCAACTGTTGCAAGTACAATGGTCTTTTGAATTGGTTCTTCTGAGAGTATGTCCAGAAAAAGAGAGCTTCAGTTTGGTTATCTGGGCTAAGAGTGAGAGATGAGGCTTGAATTGCTTGAGGATCTGTTTTTGTTTTCTTTGCCATTCAGTGTGCGCTTAAAAGTCTTTGCCAGCACCAAAGTTCAAAGGCATTTATTTGTTTCCAGTCTCACTTCTTTATTGTATTGCTTTCACATCCATAAAGAACCGCAGAGAAGACCACAGCCTGGACAGTTCAGTTCTTTGTTTGTAGAGACAAATCATTGCATTTGAAGATCTTTTCGAGTTCATTCAACCTTGTTATGCCCAGTGTCAGTCTGTGTTGAATTTCCTTTGTTGATTTGAGTAGGCAAAAATCTTAATCAATGGTTATAGTAACAAAAACATAAAATGCATTCAAACCTAACTTTTAGCGTGAGGAAAATATGCTATAACACACAACCATTTTCTGTAAAGAGATCCGATGGGGGGGAAAAAACAGGTAATTAACAGAAACCCACAAAATGTTCATATCTGTTGGGCAGTTGTGTGTGTGTGTGTGTGTGTGTGTGTGTGTGTGTGTGTGTGTGTGTGTGTGTGTGTGTGTGTGTGTGTGTGGGTGGGTGGGTGGGTGGGTGGGTGGGTGTACTTTTATATTTTCAACAGAAACTACTGTTTTGTAGAATAATCACAAACTGAATAGCGGATAGCGGAAACTAAGATATTTGTAAAACCCCAGCGATTTGGGAATGTATAGCACTTGCACATGAATAAATTAATAAACAATCAGAGAAGCTAAAATTATTTCATTTGATTTATTTATTTATTCATTTATTTTTTTTGTTTAACCCTCTTTGTTTTCTCTCAGGGCCACAGCAAGGCCATCCAGTGTCTGACAGTCCATAAAGAGGACGGTCGGCCCTTCATCTACTCCGGCAGCCAAGACGGACACATCAATATCCTCTCAAATGTGACTCGCTGGTTTGCGTTTACACTACCTGTCAAAACACTGGGGACACCTTGCCTGTTTTCATGCTTTTGCCCTTTTAGTTGTCTACCTTAATACTTTGGGTATACTTAACTTGGACACAAAGTGCCTTCCTTGGTAAGAACAGCAGGTTTTGCCTAAGTATGGATAGGGCAGTTTTCTTTTCCAAACTATTGGTAAAAGTGTATATTGAGGCTCTTTTGGGCCCAAAATTGGTTTAAATTCCTGAAAGATTAGAGTGCTGATGGGTATCAAAAGTTGTTTTATGGCACTGACCAAATAACTTTACCTAATTTTACTTAAGTATCTCAAAATTCCATATCATTTAATACCAAATTTCAGTATATAATGGTGTTTTTCCACTCGTGCAGTACAGTTACAAATCTTCAGAACTATCTGTAACCTGCTTGAGGACCCATGGTCATTTCCCATTGTACAACAGAACTGATAAAAGTAGGTAGTGTTCTCTTTAACATGTGTAGTAACGTGATTTCTCCTGCGAATCTAGTGTTAACATTAATTATTAACAACAGTAGCAACAACAGAGGAACCTTAAAGTTGTTATTTAACTTTTACTCTACATTTGATTGTATGTGAAGAGTCACAGATAGCAGTTCTGACTGGCTTGCGTTTTGGACTCGCGTGACTATTATGTAATGATTGTGTTTGATCAGTGTTTGCACTAGCTCCACCTGAGTGTTCTGGCTCAGCACACTTGGTAACCCAGCGAGAAGGGTAAGCAAACTCAACCCGGGTGCTCAGCTACAGTACGGCTCACTTGTCAGTGAAGATGATGACAAAACGTGTGATCACACTAGATCTAGGCAACATCCAAAAATGATTAGAACAATATTTTTTGGTTTAAAAAAAAACATTATCACAATTATCGATTCTTGCCCCCAACAACCAAAAACAGACAGTCTTTTGCAGCTTAGACCTACTTTTTATTCTATTTTTAACGTGTATTCTTTTTTTCATGAACATCACCTGTTTGATAATCTTTCATAAATGAAAATCTTTAACAAAAATCACATTTTCAGTAATACAGTACGGAGACACCAGCATCTTTTGCAAACTACTTCACCTGTTTTAATTTGTGAGATTCCTTCTGGTGTAGATTTGTTGTGATTTGTTGTTTGAATGCTAATAGTGCTCTCTGCTGGAGAAACTTCAGACATCAACACTCTAAATTAGTGATTTCCAAAGCCACGCTCACATACTTTACATATTAAAACATTTTTTCTCAGACAGTAAATAACACTGTGGGACACCAACCGCAGAGACAGTGGGGGGGAAAAAAAAAAAATAAATAAATAAAATAAAATGTGTATATATATATATATATATATATATATATATTGAACCTTGACTTCTAAGTACATTACTGGGATGCTGAGACTGGTGAAAACGAGGGGATAGCAGGAAAGGGTCACTCCAACATGGTGGCCAGGATGGCTGTGGACGAGTCAAACCGCCTAGTCACCTGCAGCATGGATGATACCGTCCGCTACACTGATCTTGGCAAGAAAGAATACAGGTAACACATACATACATACATCAGTAGTATATTGTGTGAGTGTGTGTGTGTGTGTGTGTGTGTGTACAATACATACATACTCTCTAAAATGTATATATGTAATAATAGTAATAACGTTACTATGTGTTTGTTGTCTGTTTTAGTGCATCTGACCTGGTGAAGATGGATGTACAGCCAAAGACTGTGTCGGTAGGGCCAGGGGGCCTGGCTGTAGCTGTGTGTATTGGACAGGTAACATGCACATACACACATATATATTGGGAATGGGTATTTAGTAGTGTCGTGCAGACCTCACTGGTCACTTTGTGGATAGTCCCAGTGATTTAAAAGCCAAGTTTCTCATCTCACAATTGCACATATATGACAACAGAGACCCTAGAATGTTGAACATCTGAAGTGTTAAGTATTTATATACCAAAAAAAGACAGAAAAACAACAAATAGTTATTTGAAACCTTAAATATTGAATGTTGTTTATATATAATCTATAAAAAAACTTGCTGTTGTTCTTACTGTTTGCAATTGAATACAGGTCAAAAACAATTTGTAAATCTTTTTCTGTTTTTATTTACATTTTTTCTACTGTCCCAACTTTTTTGGGATTGATTATGTACTTCTTGCCTGCTGCAGGTGGTGCTGCTGAAGGATAAGAGAAAAGTTTTCACTCTAGAGAACCTGGGCTATGAACCGGAGGCGGGCGCTGTGCACCCAGGGGGTGTAACTGTGGCTGTGGGCGGAGCTGTAAGTTACCAGTCAGTGCTGTTATAAGAAAAATATTTAACCAGTCCACACTCACATGTTGTTCACATGCAGCAAGAGGGCCACTAGCACTCAGAATACTTAGAGTATGTTTGTGTGTGTATGTGTATGTGTGCACGTGCAGGACGGAAAGGTGCATCTGTATTCAGTCCAGGGGAACACCCTGAAGGATGATGGGAAAGTTTTGGAGGTCAAGGGGCCTGTGACTGATATGCAGTTCTCCCGAGATGGAGCCTTCCTTGCTGTTTGCGACGAGAAGAAAGTCATCACCATCTTCACTGTAGCCGATGGTTACGAGGTATGGCTTTCTACTTAAATGCTTCAATTGCTATAAAACGTATGTAAAGCGAGTATTTATGTATGTGTGGATACAGATGTGTGACGGGTTAAAGGAAAGCCCAAAATGATGTGTCTTAGTGAGGTGTTCAGGCACCATGAACCACCAGAACAACTTCAGTACATCTTGGCATGAATTCTAAAAATCTCTGGAAGTCTACTGAATGGATGGAACACAATTCTTCTAAAAGATATTTCTTCAGTTGGTGTTTTGATGATGATGGCGGAGATCACAGGTGATTTACTTCATTTTCGTGCTAATCAAACCATTCACTGACCTCTCGTGCCCTCTGGAATGGGGACATTGTCATTCTGGAGGAGACCACTCTCATCGGGATAGAAATTTTCATCACAGGATAAATGTAATTAGACAGAATATTGTATTGATTTGCAGTGACTCTTCACTTTAAGGAGACAGGTGGACCCAAACCACAGCCAATGGAACCCCCCCATTCTTTTGGTGTATGCCACACATGTGCTCACCCATTTGTAGAGAATATGGTGAAGGATAACTCATCTAACCTGATCACTCATGTTTTTTCCCTACATGATCACACTAATGCCACGTGAATGTGTGTTTTTGACCACAAACTGTTTACTGTTATCTTTCCCATTGGTGTAAATGCAGATGCCACTTTAGTCACTGTACCTACTGAAACACCAGCCTCATGTCCCAATAACTTTCAAAGTCACCGCCGTGTTGATACAAAATCAAGACACAAATAAAAAATGCTAAATAATATGATGTAAATATAAATCTATTGCCTTATAGCCACTTATTTAAATATGAGGCTTTGTTCCTGATGTTGTAGTGTATTTTAGTAGTAAATGTTCATGTTTAAATGTGCTCTGTGTTTGTGTGTAGGTTAAGAATGATTTCTATGGTCATCATGCCAAGGTTGTGTGTTTGGCCTGGTCTCCTGATAATGAACATTTCGCTTCCGGAGGGATGGACATGATGGTCTATGTTTGGACTGTCAACGACCCAGACAAGAGGATCAAAATCCCAGGTACAGGATTACAAACACACATGGACATGGGCACTCCACAGGAAGTTTTATTCCAAGAGTTGAACATTTACGAAGAGCTTCAATGCGATTTCCTGGTCAAACTGTATTTGCTCTCACTTTAATTGGATAGTCCTCTATGGATAATCTACAAATGCAATTTTAAAATCATTCACAAAATATCTGTTTAAAAAAATCATTGCATTTATGATAATGAGTAGGATTTAGGGTTAGGATTAGGATTATCATCTGAGAGGTGGTTGAGGTTAGGGTTTGAGTGTTGAATAATAATGGAACAATTAAAGTGATATTAATATAGTTGAATGTAATTTGAAAATGAGTCGTGCAAGAGTATTAATACAAATTCTCCTTTGAAAGTGCTTTTGAGTCATGAACTCTGCTAAAGCATACGAAAGGGTTCCTGTGGATTCTTATAAAGTCTTAAAATAGATTTGAAAATTTTAATGTCATAAAGGTCATAAAATGTCTAAATATGTCTTACTTTTTACTATTAGAAGTTTTAAATTAAGCACAGTCCAGGCATATTTTAATGGATCAAGTATCGGCTAAGCCCGATTCAGTTCAGTTCTGATCTGTTGCTGAGCAGATGTGTTGAAACAAACATTATTCAATAATCTGCAGCTGTACGGTATGTTTTCAGAAGGTAACAAAGCAGTCTAAATATGTCTGGAACTGCTTTAGGGTCGGTCCACTTTGTTTTTTGCAGCTTGTTTCGAGTGACATGCTGCCTAAACTTTGTACAAAATGTACTTGCACTGTGTTATGCTGCATCGAGTTTTAAACCGATGTTAATAGTGCATTCCAAACCAAGGGGGAAGGAGCAGATCAATGAAACTAAATCAGAAGTAAATATTAAACATGCTATAAAATGGTCATGTTAATAAAGTAAGCCAAAAAATCTAAACAGAATGTCACATTATGCACATACTAAAAAGGAAGTCATTTTATTGTAGTATTATTTGGCAGCCTAGCATATCTTACCTAAGTTGTAGCTTGTACTCTCGCTCATCACCAGCTGATGTTATTGTTTAATGATTATGCATCAGGTGTGTTGAGGGAATAGTTGAAATTGTGGAGTGTTGTGGGTCTCCAGGAGCAGAATTAAGGAACACTGCTCTGTAATTTTCATATGATACATGCTGTTTTTCTGACAGATTACAGTGCTAGATGTAGGTAGCAATATGACTTCCATTCATTCTGACATATTGTAATACACCACAGAAGGTCTAGGAAGCAAAATTGCCTCCATTGTTAAATCATAAAAAATGCTCTGAAATGTTCATGTGATACATGAGATCATTCTGACAGACTGTAGTACTCTACAGGAATTCTTAGGGGGCGATATGACCTTCCATTGTTTTCATTTTAATAAATACTCTGGTTATATAGCAGCACATGGAGGAACACACTTGAAAACATGTTTTATTATCCAAAAACATCCAATGCAAAGTAGTTTTTCATGTTGGATGAGTAACAGAGTTGAATTGAATGTCAATGAAACATAACAAATAGCCAAATAGTGATTTCGCTATTTGTGAATACTGGCACCTTGAACAGTTAACGGAGTCCTCATGTACTTATGCACATCCCTATTCCATTGTTTCATTTTAAAAAACGGTTTAAAATGTTCATAAGATCCTTGCGGTCATTCTGACAGATTGCAATACTCTACAGGAAGTCTAGGGGGCGATATGGCCTTTCGTGGTGTGTGTATGTGCATTAATATATTTCTTCTTCTTTCTTGCAGATGCTCACCGATTGCACCACGTCAGTGGCTTGGCCTGGCTGGACGAACACACACTTGTCACGACATCTCACGACTCAAGTGTGAAACAATGGACATTGAAAATCTAAGCACACAAGCACACACACTTCAAACACTCTCATGGGATCACCAGGGATAGGGACTACTGTAGACAGTTACTCTCTTGCTTTCTCTTCTTGTCTGGGTTTTTTCTTTTCTTTTTCTTTATTTCAGTTGGTCTGTAAGTAGCAAGTTTTGTCCTTGAAGCTTATCAGTTGATGCAGAGTAGAAAACTCTTAGCTGTGTGTTTATCAGCTCTGCCTTTTATTCGGCTAACCGTCTGCTTAGACATAAAACAGAAAAATTTATTTAAAAGAGAAGTGTTTTTTATTTTAACTGCTATCTAGTACATCTTTACCATACGATTGATTACCATGGACAACAGTTTTAACTCATTTTGTACTTCGGGGGGGAAAAGAACTGAAAACCTCTCGACTCAAATTTTCCTTACAATAGAAGCCGCTGGGCAGTTGCTGAATGTTTGAAATATGTGATTATTTAATGATGAGACAGACATGAGATCATGTTTTACTAAAGCTGCTTCTTTGAAGTTGTATCCAACTTCTAAATGCTAGACAGTAAAAGTAGTTCTGGTTACTTTCCATAAGTTTTCTGGTGTCCATAAGTAATCATGCAGGAGCCTATGAACTTTGTCCAAAAATTACCACAAATTCCTGCCTTTGTTTTTGAAAGAATGAATAATTCACATCTTTCATTGGAAAACTGAAGAATTCCGTGTCTCACATAACTGTGTACTGTCGGAATTTAGCAACTGCCTAATGACTTCTATGAAATGAGTATTCTGTTCTTTTGTAAGTACAGGGAAATGTAGTCTATGATCGTTGATTGTACAATACAGATGCAGAAGATAGCACTTAGGCTCAAAGATGCAGGGCTATTTCTTTAAAGCACTTGGGTTCTGAGAGCTTTCTCACCTTAAACGCAATTAAAAAGCATGACATTCCAGAGGCACAAGCCCGATCTCCACTCGGTTTAAGATTCACAATGCTGATGTAGGGTCAGTTTTTTGGCATCCAAGATCCACTCATTGTGCCTCATAGACGCCATTGTGAAATTGACTGATCTTATGTCGGTAGTACTCATACATAGATAAGAGCCGAGAGCTCAGCACAGCGTAACCTTTCTAAAATATGGAACTGAGCTGTAAATATCTGCTGAGCGACTTCTAGACCTTTCTAGAACTGTCCAGTCAGCCAGTATGCGCTCTCTTTATAAGGTCTTTACTGGGTGGAGACTTTGCTTTTGCCCTCTTCTTCTATTTTTGTATGATGGAACATATTTGTGTCTTTCACAGTCCAGCTCTGATGAGAGGAAGTGTGCCTGTTTGGGGAGTCGGGGGGCAATAATATATAAATCAGAAAACTAATAATGAAAAGGTTCCAAAAGATACTGTAGTGTGTCTGATGCTTTTTTTTTTTTTGTCCTTTTGTCTACGAGGTCTCACTCAGTTTTGTTGTGTTTGGTTTTGTTGTTTTGGATGCCTCCACTTTTTTTTCCATTGGAGTGGATGTAATTCATGATAATATTAATTAATAATGGAAATAAAAACAAACACTTTTTATGCTTTTGGTGTTTCATGCTCTCTTTTTCCTGGTTAGTAAAGCTGAGCACTGTTGTTCTTTTCAAAGATTCATGAACGACTCATTCATTGAAAAGATTTCCATGTGCAAAGGAAATATATTTCCATATATTTTTTAAAATCTTTTCAAAAAAGTTTGGAATATATTTACATGTATGGATGACATATGGAAATGGGTTTCCTCCCATGAACTGCTTGCTTCAGGTCCTTCCACAACATTTCTATAGGACTAAGGTCAGGACTTTGACTTGGTCATTCCAAAACATTAAATTAAACATTAAATGTATTCTTGTTCATCGTTCCATCAATGATAGCAAGCCGTCCTAGCCTAGATGCAGCAAAATAGGCCCAAACCATGATACTACCACCACCGTGTTTCACAGATGGGATAAGGTTTTTATGCTGGAATGCAGTGTTTTCCTTTCTCCAAACATAACATTTCTCATTTAAACCAAAAAGATCTATTTTGATCTAATCTGTTCACAAGAAAGCATTGTTCCAATAGCCTTCTGGCTTGTCCATGTGATCTTTAGCAGCAGAAGAGCAGCAACTTTCTCTTTGCAGCCCTGCCATGCACACATTGTTGTTCAGTGTTCTCCTGATGGTAGACTCATGAACATTAACAATAGCCACTGTAAGACAGGCCTTTAGTTGCTTAGAAGTTACCCTGGGTTCCTTTGTGACCTGACAGATTATTACACGCCTTTAAATAAAACAGGGTGGTCACTCACACCTGATTGCCATCCCATTGACTGAAAACATCTGACTCTGATTTCACCTTCAAATTAGCTGCTACTCCCAGGGGTTCACATACTTTTGCCACTCACAGAGATGTAATATTGGATCATTTTCCTCGACGAATAAATGACCAAGTCTAATATTTTTGTCATATTTGTTTAATCTGGTTCTCTTTATATACTAATAGGACTTGTGTGAAAATCTGATTAAGTTTTAGGTCAAATTTATGCAGAAATATAGAAATTTTTAAAGGGTTCACAAACTCAAGCACCACTGTATTTAGTTCACAAATGTGCATGTATTTCAATGAATGTCCATATAAATGGTTCTATATAAAATCTTTTTGAAAATGGTTATTATATAGCACCAAAAAGGTCTATTCTATTGTTATAAGCTTCAAGCATCATAACAATAGCAGAACCCTTTTTGGTGCTAAATAGAAAAAAATTCAAAAAGGTTCTATATGGAACCATATACAGCACATTCCATAGAACCACTGCCTTTAATAAAGAACCATCTTTTTTTAATTGTGTAGCTACATTAACAAAACACTGCAAGCAAAAACATTGCTACATCTGCATACTACTTTATACATTTTATGCCCTAGATGTGATTTTGTTCAAGTTAGCATAAGCTCTTGCAGTAAAGTTAGCCAACATTTTTTTCTGAGAATCTTTTCTAAAGGTCATTTAACATAACTACCTTACCTATTGAGGCAGCTGGTTTTCAAATATTGCTTAAAGTACTGTTACTTACCAGGTAGCTTTATTCAGACAGCTAGCTGGCATGCTTTTGGCTGCAGACCACAATGATAAAGCAATGTTATGTTAGCGTCACACCAGCCATACTGTAATACTATGTTTACAATTTGTGGCAGGTCTTGAAGCTCCTAAGAGACAGAGAAGGCATTTTTTACTGACTATTGCACAGTGAGTCCTTCAGTATTTGAAATGTAAAGCTTTCACATCATATAAGCCACTTGCTAATGTTGCCTAGCAAAGTCTTACAATAATTCTAAAAATGGCAATTGACACATTAACATACCACTCTAGTTTAAATAGTGCACTTAAATATAATAAAAATGCCTGCAGTTATATCACTATATCACCCAGCCTAATTGGCCAAATGGCTAATTACTTAGAAAATGGCGACAACATAACCTACAACATATAATTCAATTTATTAAGAATTGTAGTAAGCAATTCTTCCCACCAAGAAATGAGTTCATTCAGAGTAGGCTATGTGTCCAAGCAACTGTGGACCGCAGAAGGAGAGAAGATAATGTTATTAGCATTTATGTTAGCAGCCTCAGAAAGAGTTTTTTTACTCATGATTTCACACTGTTGAAAGAAAAATGTAAGTACTTTTTTTATTTTACACATGATTTTGTGTAATTGTAGATATGTACTGTGTCTCTGTGCACAGAAAAGTGTATTCATGTTAATATTCTGGTGCTAATAAGTAAGCTAATAGCAAGCAAAATAGTGAGCATATATGAGTCCACTGGCTTGATAAGGTCGGCACCTCGCTGACTGTTTGTCACTGCTGGTCCACCCTCGGACCACCCAGATTACTGTCCTGCATACAAACTCTAACTATTTTTAATCCCCTCAAACAGATTATAACTACACAGAGACTTTTATTTTAGAAAATAAACTAAGACAAATATTACAAACAACTGAGAGAGAAAAAAATAATAACTAGGCCTGATATAAAATGATTTTATAGAAAATGTTGTTGACACTGTGCTGGATTAAAATTATTTACTAAACTAACTTAAAGTGTAACTAAAGTAAGGAAAGAAGGAAAAATAAGTAAATTGGACTGTAAGTGGAAAATGAGTGATGATAAGTGGAATTTTGTCTATTACTCTGCTTAAACACCAGTGGAACGTCCATAACACATTGAGCAAACCACCAGTGGACCACCAGCTTTGCCATGAGTGGGCCAACAGTGGTCCACTATCCTCTTGCTATCAGGGTAGCTAATAGACTAGCAGGCTAGAAAACACACAAGTCTGTGTGATTGTAGGCATTTCTGTAAGTGTGTACACCTATAGCAGAGCAATATGCATCCATTTCCAATATACATTGTCACAGTGCTGAAATTACGTTGAAATTTTGTCTCCATGTTGACAACATTTGCTCAATGTTGTTGCTCAATTTTTTCTTAGGACCTTTTTCAAGAACACATTTAAGAAAAAACCTAGGAAGATATTGGTGAATGAGGATGACTGTTCACACAAATTCACACCTAAGGGCAATTCAGCACATCCAGTTGGCCTGACTGCATGTCTTTAGACTGTGGGAGGAAACCCACACAGACAGGGGAGAACATACAAACTCCACACAGAAAGGACCCTGGTCACCCAGCCGGGGAATTGAACCCAGGCCCAGAATTTGCCTCCAACCTGTTTTCAGTGTTAGTATAAGTGCATAGTGACTACCAAGTGACAATGCACACATACATCTTTTTAAAGTGATTTATATATGTAAACCACCATCAAAAATATATACATTATACATATTTAAGTGAATATATACATGAAATATTTGTGTGTATTGCATAACATAATTTATTATATATACTATATACTGTATATACTATCATATATATGAAATTTATTGTAAAATAGTATATATATAAATGGTTTGATAAATATTATCATGCTATTTAATAAATATTTTAAAAAAAAGTTTGAAAACCATTTTAATTCCCAAGTTGGAACTATCGCCAAGCGCACTCTGATGAGGCAGTATTATTTCATTTTCATGACAACATGATGTAAACACAAACTTCATGCAGCAGCTTTTTTTAAAAACATCGCACCACTTTACCCGACAATATGAACATACATCATCTACAAGATCAGAAATATTTGAATCCTTCATTTTATAGAGAATGTAGTTGGTTTCAGCGTCGCTCCAAAAGCGGTTTGCCGCCATCTCGCGGCAACGCTGCTTACATATTTCTGGTACAGCAGTCTGTTCCGCACACATGCAAACTAAGAAATCTGAAAGAAATCTGGAGTTAACATGCACTGAGAAATCTGATTACTGAGCTAAAATCCTGCTCTCTTCATCAGATTTCTTAACCGGATTTCTAGATAAGAGTATTCCATTTGAATAATCAGATAACGGCAGACATCAGATTATGATCGGATCGGACTATTGAATGCATGTAAACCCACTGACTGAAACCCAGCATTATCACAACATTATGCCTGCTGGGTTTTTAATGTTATGA